TGACAAGCCTAACTTAGGAGTGAAGCACCTCTGATCTTTAAACTAGCCAGTCAGAACCACACAGTTGGCATTTCCTGTATTCTAATATTGTCAAGTTAATTACTCAGGAAATTATGGGGTAATTTTTAACATAGTGATCATTAGTATTAATGGTCGTGATTAGTGTGAACAGCTCTTTGCAAGGAGCTTGGTCCTGCAGTTTGGTGCACAGAGATCTCACGTGCATCACCACATTTTTCTCACAGTGAAGTCTCTGGAGAAGCCCAACATTGACCAGTGTTGTTATCTCGCCGAATTCATTCCTTTTTATGACGTATTAATGTTTTGTTTAGTAGGCTAACAGAAAATTTCCAAAAAAAAATTGCACTTTCCGGAATTCGAAATTTGATAACAGTTAGCTGTGTGCTTGCTTGCAGTGTTCATTTCCTATCTCTCGACAAGCATTTTTATTTTTTTAATCTAGAAAATGATAGGGCATAAAAAGGCAAAGAAATAGGAAGAGAAAGAGGAGTCAAGGAGGACTCCAGTGTCTGGTCCTGAACAACTGGAAGTTTGAAACTGTCAGCAGAGAAGAGAAAAAGATATATCATAGGGTGGTGGGGCACGACAAACCATCTGCTTGCTACACAGTGCAGTAAAGATGTTAAGTCATTAACTGGCTCAGGGGAGTTTGGAGCTCAAGAAAATTTGGAATGAAACTGTATATTTTCTGTGTTGTGCCTTTATTTTCCATCTCAAAGCATTTTCTGATTCCTTTCCTTGATTCATTTGTTGGTCAAGAGTGTTGTTCAAGGAGAAAGTACAGAGGGGTGCGACACTTGTATTTAACCTTGGGAATCTGGTTAAAGTGCAGGTTTTGGTTCAGTAGGCCTCAGATTTCCGCATTTCCAACAAGCTTCAGTTGGACATACTCTTCTGTCTGCAGACCACACTTGGAGAAACCAGCCTGCATTGGTCACAACTAGGTAAGGGAAGAGTGTGTGTTATTTGCAAGGAATGAGAGTCCCAGATCCTGCCTCCAGCCAGCCCCGCCCATCTCTGTGCTTAGCAGAATGAGGACTCTCTTGCTCCTATAAACAGACATTTATAGGGTCTCACTAAGGAAAGTAAGAAATCGGAATGAATGATGTGAACTTTGGCCAATATTTAGAGATTTTTTTTCAACTTCTGTCCAGAGTCCAGAGAACAAAAATTGCTACCTGATAGAAAGATCACTAACATGTATTATAAATATCTTTAAAAATAATGACATTGTGTGTGTATGTATATTTTCATAACCAGACTGTCATTGTGTTCCTCTTTTAAGACATTTAACGACAAAGAAAATAATCTATCCTTCCAGTCATTACTCATAGTAGCCTGGCAAGTCTAGCAGGTGTGTGTGTGTGTGTGTGTGTGTGTGTGTGTGTGTGTGTGTTAGGGATAGGAGAGCAGTCAAGTGAAGCAGAGTGCATTCTTCCGAGGACATGTCCTCAAACCAAGGGAGATGCACAGGTGCAAAACAGCTTGAACTGCCCAGAGCCTACAGCCTAAGAGAGATCCTGCTGAGATCCTGCTGCCAGGAGGCCTGGGAACCTCAGGGCAGCATTTGAATACCTATGGCTCCTCAAGGAGGAGAGAGATTTCAGGGTTTCTGGGCAAGGGTCAGGTATTAACTGTTCTCAGTAGCATGAGCCACACAGTCTCCACAGTAAGGCTTACCTGTGCCCCAAAGCCGCCATCCTTATATGCAAGGTGGATGTGGCAGTGTGTGAGGGTTTGGCTCTTGGCTGGAGTAAATTACATGCTGGCAGAGGAATTGGATTGGTGGGTAGGCTCTCACTGTATAGAACTTTGGTGCAAAAGTTTTGGCAGTGTAATAAGCTAGCCTGACACAAAGTTTAGTATTAGAAGTATTTACTAAAATAGGGTAATGGCAACCATGAGATTATTTCATATTAATGTCATTAAATGCACCCAGACTGTTCTTTGTGCCATGTAAGTTCACTAACATGAGCTTTGCTTTCAAACAATAGGAAGACACATTCATTGCATTCCACAGGGCATTTTATTTTTACCTGACCCTCTCAGTGGCCTTTCTGACAGGCGTCATCCCCATTCCACAAAAGAAACTCACCCGAGGAGCTAGAGCTATGAGTTTAGGGCAGCATACTTCAAGGGGACTCACATCTAGATGCTAGTTTGTTTTCATCCTCGCAAGAAGGTGAACAAATCCTCAGATGTCATTTGCCAGTCATTTGCGGGACCATGAAGCTTTCTTCCAGAGAGACAGAGGGAGATTAGGTCACAGGTTGTCCAAGATGACTAAACAGAAATGGAATCCTGGATGGGTTTGTACAGCTGCTCTGAGGACCAGCCTTCAGCAGCACAGGGATTGAGGGGATCCACTGAGCCCATGAACTAATTGCTCAACTTGACTTTTTTCTCTGAGGAAGTAAAGCTTAATTTTCTGGGGCTGGTGAGGGGGGCAAAATTCAATTCTCTGGGGCTGATGAGAAAGGGCAAACACACAAATACACCTTTAGGGCCTCTCTGCCATCTTCTCATTTCCTTATTTCTTTTCTTACCTCTTTCTAAATATATCCCTTCTGCCCTTAATTTTTCACTTACAGCTTATATACCCCATCAAAATCTTTCAAGCAGCATAAAAATTATAGTGTGGTTACATTATACGTTTCAATTGAATGATCGCAATGAATACAAGAGAAAAAGAGCATGTTTCTCATTTCCCTTACATGATTAAACATCTTATGTATCATACGTGAGAAACAAATTATTCCCAGGAACCCACATACATTCATATCCAAGCAACTTGTTATAGATTAACAGAGTGTAAGCAAGCAAGGTATTTTTCTCAGCCAGTTCTTTTGCTGGCAAGCTGGGTTTTGTGGTTAAAAGGAAAGAATAAATCACGTTATTATTTATCTTAGAAGGTTATCTTATAAAAAAGTCTCAAAAGAATCATGAATCTAAACTTTTATATGTGAAAAACAACCAGTCAGCTCATCAACAGTTTTTTATATCAGGAAGCTAAGGGCATAAATGGGCACAAGAAATTCATCATCATCTTTGATCACCAACCCATCCTAGCAAAAATGATACATCAACTAATAATAACCAGGCTTTGTTCTTGTTTCTTGACCTCTGAGTCCCTTATTCAACTATATCCCTAAACTTTAAATTGTTCCCCAAGATTTTCTACCTCAAAACCATTAACAAAAAAATCTTAATCTAACCTTAAGTCATTATTTAAATCTTTATTTTAGCTACGATGCATACTGAAACCCATAAACATATCTCCCAACATTAAAATTAAAAGAACTTGAGCTAACTTAGTTTCTGGGACACAGTTGTTGTTCTTAATCATTAACCTAAGCCACAGTCTAGCTGTATGACACTTCCTTGTTATTATTTTCTATCCTCTGCAGCCCCTGCTTTACAGGGGTGGGGACAACGCCGTATCCTGTTTTTACCTATATTAATTTTCTTATTAAACTAACCTCTATCACAATCACTTACTATATTATTAAAAATCCTCAATCATCAAAATTCTGTTTAAGCTGATACTATTATTGAATAAAATCATTGCTTTTGTTAAACAGTACAACATAAGAGGAAATCTTCATGCTAACCCACAGGTAAAAATGGCCAGTAGAACAGGGTATTTCCATGAGATAATCACACTACAATAAAGGCAGTGTGTATCCCTCCACCCCCATTCACACCATGCTAGATACCAGAGAAAAGTGGCAGCGGCAAATGTAAAGGCATAACAGTAGCAGGAAACATTCTGGAGCTGAAGCCCTCAGATCCTTGCCTGTCTGAGACTTGTCCATCAGTGCTTTGCCCCCTGGTGAGCAGTCTCCTAGAGCTCAACTGCCACCTGCTGCTCCTCAGACGTGGCTACTGGAAGGTTTGGAAACTGAGGGTGTCAGAAGCCAGAAGTCACAGACCAAAAGTAATTTTTATTGTCCATGAATTGTCCCGGAGAATCCCCAAGTTGGCCGTGATGCCTATGTAGTGTCTGCACTCTTAGTAAACTGCCTATTCTGGGGCCTCAGGGCCATAGTTCCTGGCACTATGAAATAAAAAAAGGTGACTTTTTTATGCAGAGGAGTCTGCCTGGTAATATTTCCTATCGTTGTAGGATCTATAACGAAGAAAGGTCAGCTAAAAATGGTTTTTGCACCGAATATTTTTATGTTCTTATTTTCTGTCTCCAACTTTCCTAAACCAGTTCTTGTTGACTTTTTCTAGTGACCTTTAAGAGCCTAGATAAAGAGAGAGACTTCTAGTTGTGTAAGTCACGGGGAACAAGTTGAGGGCTCCCATTGGCCAGCCAACCACTGAGACATCCATAGGAGCTTTTTCATGGACTGTAGCTGCTTCCTAGCCTTCATGGACAGGCCCCTGCCATTCTGTGTTATCCCTTGTTGATTGTAGATTATCAGAAGGTAATAACTCCATATCTGTTCAGTGAATGTATGCCATTTAATCCAGATGCCTCTTTCTAGGTATCTGAACCCCAAAGTTGGCGGCTGTGACCATGAGGGGGCTCTGAGGTACTGTTTTGGTAGCCATTGCTTTAATGTTTAGTGTGATGGCTTAGAACAACCGGCAATAGTAGAAGCCCGTGAGCTGCAGCTGTTCTTGTCTGTGACACTAGAGAACAATTCCCCACATAGCTTGACCCTTCCTCATCCTCTCTCCCTTTAGCCTACGTGTCTTCATGTTGAACATTGTGTCTGTCTTGTTCCTGGTTGCAGCATCAGCTTGCACTTCCCCTGCAGTGGGGCCCAGCCCAGGAAGTAGTGCTGAAGAAAGTCATCTGCCAAGGTTTGGCTAAGTGGGAAGGTGGGAGCTTTGCCTGGCCACCCTGGGAGCAGGCGAAAGAGAAAGCAGAGGACTTGTGAAGGACAGAAGGACACAATGTGTATCTCTGTACCCATGCTCACTGCTGTAGAAACCTCAGGGCTACATGAGGGCCTTTGATTTTTCAGGTTGAACTGGAGCACTCTGCTTCCTCTATGGCTCCAGCATCGGCGCCTGGGACTTCGAACAAAAGGTCCAGACTTCATGCTGGAGGACTCCACCTTTCAGATTTTTGGGGGATCCATACACTATTTCCGTGTGCCCAGGGAATACTGGAGGGACCGCCTGCTCAAAATGAAAGCCTGTGGCTTGAATACCCTTACCACGTAAGTGCCGCCTCCCCATCTCTCCACCAAGCTTGGCTACCAAGTTGGGGCCCCTGGTGCTTGCAGGAGGAAAGCTATGAGAGGAAGTTAGCCCAAGCTGCCTGCTTAGGTTTGCAAGCTCTATAGAGCTCCCTGCAGATAAAGTAGAGGAGATGCAACCGTACAGTACTGGAGAGAGAGAGAGAGAGAGAGAGAGAGAGAGAGAGAGAGAGAGAGAGAGACACAGAGACACAGAGACAGAAAGACACAGAGACAGAGGAGCTTAGATATGGGAGGTGATTGGTTTTTTCATCTTGTGGTTTGAATAAATAAACTTGCTTTTTCACAGTTCTGAAGGCTCACCTGCAGTCATGGCCAAGCTGTCTACAAGTCTAGTTTCTCCTGGAGCCTCTGTGCAGTGGAGAACCGTTACCTCCCTCGTGCCCTCAGATGACTTTTCCACTGTGGTTTTGCATTCCTAGTGTCTTCTCCTTTTTGTTGTTATAAAGGCTACTACAAGTGATTTTCTTTTTTGAGAAAGGTTCTCTACTGTGCAGCCCAGGCTGGCTTCAATCTCTCCATCTTCCCTGAGTAGAGTCTTGAATGCTGGGATTGCAGGTGTGCCGCGTCGTCTAGACTGACAAGCAACTTTTTTCCACAAGCAACTGCTGCTTCCCAAGTTTTAGGGTCCCAAGATGCTGACACCAATTCAGCATCTATTTTCTGGAAAGACCTCTGGATTGTTGCGACTCTCTTCCCTGCATCTAGCCTGACGGCTGTTCTGTGGCAGACACAAGATGAAATGTAGGCTAGGCAAACCAGCTAAAAAATAGGTTTAGGGGCTGGAGGAGGTGGCTGAGCAGTTAAGAGTGACTGGAGTTTGTTCTCAGCCTTCATGTCAGGCACCTCACAACCTGCTTGTTCCTGCAGCTCCAGAGGCAGCGTAGGTCTCTGTGGATCCTGCACTCACCTGCACATAGACCACTCTCCAGACACATGTTAGTAACAATTATAAAAATAAATAAAAATACTCCTGAGGTGCTATCTCTATGAAATAAAGACGACTATCAGGTAGAAATGCTGCATTATCAGGAGAAAAGCTGTGATGACTAATCAAGGACAGGGACTCCCTCATGTGGCTCGTGAGCTGACTCTGAAGACGGGTATTAAAAAGACAATCACAGCACTGTTGAGAGTAATGTGTACAGCCTCGTAGAGAACTACAGGTCATAGGAATACTACAGTGTGTGCTGACCTGGGGCACAGAGCCTGGCCTTTTATTCCATGGAGCTCATATGTCACTAAGTCTGGTTGACTTTCTGTCCGCCTAAGGAGATGTCATATTCTTCCGAGGACTTGTCTTGAGTTTTCTGCAGTCCCCATATCTGGTCTCCAAGATGTGAAGTTATCGAACGTTGTCTCTTTATTCATCATCGTGGGTGTTAGAGATAAAAAATGTTCATGTGAATGATTAAACTTACCTGCAATTATCTTGTCTCTTACAGCTATGTGCCCTGGAACCTCCATGAGCCAGAAAGAGGCAAATTCAACTTCTCTGGGAACCTGGACCTGGAGTATGTAGTCTTGGTGCTTTTATATCTGGTCTGGGATTGGAAGTTACTTGGGGTTGATGATGAGCACTCAGGATGTTGTTGCTGCTTTGACTGAGACTGAATCTGGAGCCTTGTTCTTAGCATGCTTAGAAAGGTTCTGCACTTAGGGCCTAGATGCTCCCCCGTTGTGACTCGTTACCCAGGTACTCAGCCTGTAGGCTGCAATCCTCTTTTTCACTAGAGTCCAGAGGGCCAAGATCCCAGATCCCACCAGATTCTGTGTTGGGGTCCATATGCTTGGGATAGGATTGGGGCTGTTTCTGGGTTAACAAGGCTGTTGTTGGAGACAAAGCCCTGTATCCTGTCTGACAAATCCCAGTGGTCCTGATGCAAGGAGCCAGTGCATACCCAGCTTCCAGGACTTTTGAGCCCCTATCTGGTGCAGGAATCCCCTGCTATGTTGAGCTGGGGCCAAGTCTTCGTCATCCCATGTTCCCTGGTTGAGAGAAAAAAAGGCAGGGGAGGAACAGGAGAGGTTTAATTCCCACGTGCCTGTGACTCCTCCTGTATCCTTTCTTCTGGATGCTCAGGGCTGACTTTCTTTCCCTCCCTAGGGCCTTCATCCAGCTGGCTGCGAAGATTGGACTGTGGGTGATTTTGCGACCCGGGCCCTACATCTGTAGTGAGATTGACCTCGGGGGCTTGCCCAGGTGAGAAAGGGCAGTGTGGGTCTCCAGAGTTGCCAGAGAGAGGGGTCTGGATGCCCATTCCTGAGGCTTACAGGGGTTGGCTTAGTTTTGTTTTTAAGGTAGTTTTCTTTCTGTGGCAGTGCCACGGGCTCTTTGGAAGAACGCTGCAGCGATTGCCCTTGTCGAGTACCCTTGGGTCTTTCTGTGTGTCAGCTGGCAGCAGTGGAACGCTTATCTCTTTGGAAGTGTTTCGTTCTTCTGGCCCTACTGGAGAGGCACCCAGGCAGGCTCCTTATCTGATCTGGCCCTTACTGCAACATGAGGCAAACCAAACCTGCTCTGTTTCTTGATGATATTACTGTTGATTTATTAAAACCCCCAAGTGTTGCTGTAGTTTGGAGGAGTTGGTGTTGTGGTTTCTGTCCTCAATTCTCCTGAGTCCATTTTTCTAAGTATAGTTTCCACAAAGGTCAGTGTGTTAAACATATGCTCTGGGAGTGGGGTCTGGATGGGTATCTATCACATGGACCCACATCCTTTCCTCTATCTCAGCAAGGCTGCCTTCCTTTCCCATCAAAACAAGTTCTGTCTTAATTGGCGTTGCCCTATCTGGCCACACAGCATCAATCACAGGTGGCTAGCCGTGGTCTCCGCCCACCTATGCTGTTAATTACAGGTGGCTAGCATAGCCTCCGCCCACCTGTGCTGTCCCCAGAGGAAAGAAGTAGCGTGGGGCGCTCTTTCCTCACGACACAAGTATTATGGTCAGGCTTTATCTGCTCTGTTTCCAGCAAGGCCTGCCCCTTCCTCAGGGGCACAGTTTGTCCCCTCTCCAGCATCCAGCGTCAGTCTGACCTGGCACAGTGTCCATGACAGAGCTGTGAGCCGAGGCAGAGCTGCTTGCCCCTCTTGGCGGATTAGACACCTGTGCCGCTGTCAGCAATTTTCCTTGGGCTCAGCTGGAGCCGGGCACGGGAGGCCAGCGGGGTTTAACAGTCTTAAATTAGAAGCAGTAGGGACACCCACTCTCAGATCCCTGCTCCCTTGTCATGGTTGGGGGTTCCTGCCTATTCATGAGGGTTTTCCAGGAGGGTAGGGTATCTGTGTGGTGAGAAACTAGGCCTGTTTGATAGACCGGGACATGCAGCTCAGGCTAGGGGAGACATTTCTGCCAGCCTTTCACCACCAACTGGCATCCCTGATACATTGCTGTCTCATTTCTGAGTTAGGGGAAGGGAGACCTCCGAGTCTTCTGGTAGAAAATACGTTTCTCAGGACTTCCTTTGAATGGTGCTGAGTTTCTGTGGAAATCTGTGGCCACAGCAGATCAGGGAAGGTGTCTTCTTGGCCTCCTGCTGCTGCTCAGGAGTTCCTCAGTCAGTCAGCTTAGTTCCTCTGGGACATCCTTGAAGGATGAATACTTTTGGCACTGCCTTTGCCCCTGCCTTCGGACTGGACCTGCCAACTCCCTCGTTAGCTCAGGCTGGTTTTCCTTGCGATCCTCCAGCGTCACCTGAGTGCTGGGGTTCCAGGAGTGCTCGGCCATGCCTGTTTTGATTCTTTACTGCAAATACTTGAAAAGTAGGCCTTGCTTTTCTCATTCCAGTGGACAGTGAGTACTCCTGTGGCGTGAAATTGAACTCTAAGTTCCCAAGGCATTTGGTGTGTAGGCTGGCGCAGTGCTTGCCTCTGAACTGTGTGCTTAGCTTCCTGACTTCCTAGCTAAATGGAGGTGGTGGGGTGGTGACTAACCCTTCCCTGACCTGTTCTCCAGACTCTTTCTTGAACTGCATGAAGCTGCTTCCTTCACACTGCTCATGAGCCTGCCTAAGGGAAACCACAGACCCTGGCACTGATACTCCTTTTCTTTCCTTCTCCAAGCTGGCTCCTCCAAGACCCAAACATGAAGCTGAGAACAACGTACCGTGGCTTCACTAAAGCAGTGGACCTTTATTTTGACCACCTGATGGCCAGGGTGGTGCCACTCCAGGTAAAAGAAGGAAGACTTTTTGATCCTTTCCTGCCTGCCTTATGAATATCAGGCAGCCCTTGGTAAACTCCCAGATGAGAATCCTGCAGTTCTTCTCAACACACCTATACATTCTTCACCACTGTGCGAGACCTGGAGGACTGTGATGCTTACGTTTTCAAAGAGTGTGCATCCTAGTGTGGTCTCAGCCAGTGCTGTAATGATAGCCGGGCATGAGGACTCTGTGCGGCCAGAGCTCCAGGGGCTTGAGTAGATAGGATGCCCTAGGAACTGAAGCATGCAAGTGTCAGAGTCCCCGCAACACAGTGACTCTGTGCTGCATGGCACAGTGCACATGGGAGGCCCAGGATAGACAGAAGAGAGCTGTGTCAGTACAAAGCTCTAACTGATGTTTTTAAAGTGCTACCAAAAGGTGCTGTACAATTCACACTGACCATTCAAAACAAATATACTAAAATGAAACTTAGGGAGGAAGCATCTTAATATTTTATGCAGCAATTATAAGCAATAACAAACAGGAATGGAATTAATTAACCCAGTTGCTTTGTAAAACCACAGAGAATGATGTCCGGAAATTAGTACAGCAATAAAAAACTGGTGTACTGAGAAAAAAAATATCACTCTTGGGTTAATGGTTTGGAACATTCCTAATAGCATAAGTCAGAATGAACAGCCGGATGAAACAGGTTGTTGGGGAGAGTTTGAAAGTCAGATAAACAAGGAAAAACTTTTATAAATATACCCTGATATCACTTGAGCCACGTTTATATTTACAAACTACTGCCTATTTATAGAAAATCTTCATTGTAAATCAGATGGAACTGAGTGCCTTTTTATTTACTATACCAGGCTTTGCTAAATATGAAAGAAGCAGGAAGCTTGGAAGTTCTTGGCTGAGGTTTTCCCAGGGAACACAGTTACTGAGATGGTCCAGCACATTTTGTGGTGGGAGGAGGAGGGAAGGTTGTTCTAGGAATGCATTCTGAGTCATGGGAATAATGTCGCCATCTTGTGCATGGGCACAGCACAATTGTTTCTCATGATTTTTTTTTTTTTTGATTTTTCGAGGCAGGGTTTCTCCGTAGCTTTTTGGTTCCTGTCCTGGAACTAGCTCTTCTAGACCAGGCTGGCCTCGAACTCACAGAGATCCACCTGCCTCTGCCTCCTGAGTGCTGGGATTAAAGGTGTGCGCCACCACCGCCCAGCTCTCATGATCTTTTATTGGGTAAAATGTATGTAAAAAAAAGCTGGCCCTTTCATGTATGCAGTAAATCATAATTAAATACATAAGAATCCTCCTTATCAGAGGGGACATATTCCAAGACCCTTAATGGGTGCTTGAGACTACAGATAGGAGTAAACCCTACATATATGACATGTTCCTTTTTGTAGATATGTACAGTGAAGCTAAATGGATCAGACACAGTAAGACATGAAGGCTAATAACATCATAAAATAGAACAATTATAGCAATATTCTGTAATAAAGTCAACAGAATCACTAATCTTATACTTTAGGGCCATTTGAAAGTACAGCTAGTACTACTTGAACCTAAGTAGTGAAGTCCTGCAATTCCTCTGAGACTGAGGTGGCCCTAAGTGACTGACAGACAGGTTGTTTGCTGCTGGGACAGCCTGGACAAAGAGATGACTCACAGTCAGGTTGAACACGATAGGACGGCGCCAGCTCCTGTCAGATTACTAAATTTATGGACAGCTTAAAATTTGCGAATTGTTTACAGGGAACTTCATTTCATACTGTCATTTGCCATGGGAAATTGAAACCTGCAGTACAAGCCCACTGCTGTATGATGGCTAAAAAACAGCGCTAGGGAGAAACTATTCTGAGACAGAAACAACAGCTAGGGGAGCTATGACAGCTTAAAACATCGGGAAAGCTGGAACCGTTCTGAAAGACAGAGGTCCAATCAATCAATCATTCAATCAATCAATCATTCAGTCAGTCAATCAGTCAGTCAGTCTATCAGTCAGTCAGTCTCTCCCCTCCACCCTCAATCCCTGTTGATTGTCTCCTCTGTCTCCTCCCTCCCACTTGGATGGCTCACCTGTGAAGGTGTGCATTCTGTCTCTAAAGTACCCTGCAGGCTGTGGTATTTTTCATAAGGACTCTAATGCACTCATGAGGGCTCCATCCTCATGATATAATCACTTTCCAGAGGGTCTGTCTCTTAATTCCATTTGAGGTTATGATTTCAGCATATAGATTTTGATTGACACAATTCAAACTTTTAACCTTCTAGCTCAGGACAATGTGGAAACACTGGAATTGGGAGGTGGTGCAGACCATTTACAGAACTGCTACACAAAACTTCAGGAACATCCGAAATCACCTGGGGGGGGGGGACGTGGGCTTCAGGAGACAGCAGGTATAGTGCAAGAACAGGAAATCCATCAGCTTCTAAAAATGAGAAAGATAAGGAATATAGGGAAGGTATCTGAACATAAAAAGGCACTTACAGCAAGCACTTGGCCACCATTACCCTAAACAGAGAGATACTCCAAGCATTTCCACCAAAATCAGGAAGAAGACAAGGATGTCCACTCTTTCCATAACTCAACAAAGTACTTGAAATCTTAGCTAGAGCAATCAGACAACTGCAGGAGACCAAGGGAATGCAAATGGAAAGGAAGAAGTCAAGGTATTCATGTTTGCAAACAATATGGTTATATATGTAAAAGACCCTGAGAACTCCACCAGGAAACTTCTACAGCTGATAGATATTTTCAGTAATAGTATCTGGGCACAAAATTAATACAAAAGTCAGTAGCTTCCTATATACAAATGAAAAACATACCAAGAAAGAAATCAGGGAAACAATATCTTTCATAATAACCTTAGTAAATATAAAAATTTAAGACATTGAAGAAATAAATTGGAGAAGATATTTGAAGATAGAAAAATCTGTGCTCATGAATTAGTAGGATAAATAGTAAACATGGCCACCCTACCAAAAGCAGTCTACAGATCCAATGCAACCTCCATCAAAATTCCAACACAATTCTTTACTGAAAAAAAAAAAACCCAAAACCTGAAACTTCATATGGAAGCAACAGAAAATCTAGGGTAGCTCAAACAATCTTGAATAATAAAAGACATGTTGGAAGTATCACTATCCCAGATTTAAAGTTGTGTTACAGAGCTCTCCTAATAAAAACAGCATGAGGCTGGCATTAAAACAGACATGCTGATCAATGGAACAGAACTGAAGATCCAGAGATAATTCTACACATCTATGGATACCTGCTTTTTGGCAAAGAATCAAAAGAAATACACACTGGAGAAAAGATGGCATCTTCAGCAGTGGTGTTGGTCAAACTGGATGGCTGCCAGTGGAAGAATGCAAAATGTCTGCATCACCCTACACATAACTCAACTCCAAATGGATCAGAGACCTCAATGTAAAACCCAATTCCTTGAATCTGATAGAAGAAAACGTAGAGATTCACATGAACTCATTGGCATAGGAAAGGACTTTCTTAATGGAACCTATAGCATTGGGATCAATTAATAAACGGGTCCTCATGAAGATAAAACGCTTCTGTACAGCAAAGGACATCATCGTTTTACCAAGTGGCAGCCTACAGAGTGGGGAAGATGTCTTTATCAATTATACACCTGACAGTGGTGGTTGATGACTCCGAAACTATGGCAGCATGCACAAAACCTGTGCAAGTTCAAGCCAGACACAATCCCAGCATGGGGAAGGGGAAGTGAACAGAGTTTATCTCTAACCAAGAAGCTATTTGGCATTGACAGGAGAGGGAAAGTCAGTTTTCTCCAATGGAGTGACACTGGGTATATCAACCACACCCCAGGACAGGCAACAACTTAGGAATAGGTGGACAATACAATACAAAATACATTGTATGTTTTTGTCCTTTTTGTTTGCTTGTTTTACTTTGGTATTTTTGTCTTTGTTTTGATTTTCTTTTATCATCAAGTGAGAGAAAGAATATGGAGTTGGGTGGGTTGGGAAGTAGGGAAGATCTAGGAGGAGTAGGGGAGGGGAAAGAATATGATCAAAATACATTATATGAAGAAAACTTAAAAATCCAATTAATATTAAAATTAATTTCCACAAACAATGTCATCATGCCTTATCACATGACTTTGATAACTGACTTTTTAAAATTTAAAAATTTCCTTTAATTTGAGGGATTTTCAACTATACAACTATTCTTTCTTCTATTGCTGTTCCTCCCTCCATTCCTCCTCCTTCTCCTCCTCTTCCTCCTCGTCCTCCTCCTCCTCCTCCTTCTTTTGTTTTTGTTTTGACAAGGTCTTGCTGTGTAGCTCAAGCTGACATCAAATTCACTATATATACAAGCTGGTCTTGGACTTCCAATACTTTTCAGCCTCCAAAGTGCTGGGATAACAGGTTCATGCCCTCATGCCTGGTCAGCCATTATTTCTTCAAATACACTGTTGATATAGTTCCTTTTTCAATTTAAATTTTTATTCTTTGAGAATTTTTTGCATGGGCATTATGTTTACTTCATTTCTACCTGTCTCTCTCTCCCTCCAACTTTTTCCATGTCCCTCCCCCTCCCACTTTAATTATTGACCTCTTCTTTATACATACATACATACACACACACACATATATGTATATACATACATATGTATGCTCCTGCTGAGTTCATTTAGTGTTGCTTGTATATTTGCTTATTTAGTGATTACCACTTGTTGGATAACCCATGGGGAGGCTTGTTTCTAGAGAAGACTGACTCTTCTCTAATTGGGCATTAATTGCCTATAGCTCTTCATCTAGGGGTAGGGCATCTCTTTTGCCTCCTCCTCTTCTTCTGTCCCCTCCTCCTCCATTTCAAAGACTATGTGTATTGGTCTGATTAATGGTGTCCCCTAAGTTCGTTTGGCCCTGTTCATATTTTTTCATTCATTTTTTCTTTTCTTTCCCTAAGGTAGACAACTTCAAATAATCATTTCAAGTTCATTTATTGTTTACTTTGTCTAGTAAATCTTCTCTCTCTCTCTGTGTGTGTACATGCTTTTTAGGTTTTTCTGCAGTTTTTTCCATTTATTTATTCTTTTACAGTTTCATATATGAAATATTATCACACATATGTATATGTTCTTTGATCAAAGCCCTCCTTTTCCTTCCTTTTCTGGTTTATGGTTCGTAGCATCCAAACTAGGGCGTAGCACATGCTAGCAAAGTGTTCTTCCACTGGATTATGTTCCCTTGTGTGTGTGTGTGTGTGTGTGTGTGTGTGTGTGTGTGTGCCTCGAGGCTTTTTGGTTGAACATTAGACATTGAAAAAACAATTATCTTTCCTTGTCTCTGCACATGGTCAGGGAAAACCTTCACTAACTAATGGCATTTTGAACTTAGAAAATCAGCACAGAATGAAGATACATAGTCTCTTATATTACCTGGACATATACATAGTCTCTTATATTACCTGGATATATGTTCTATCCATGCCCAAACCCTGATTTCCTTTGCATGTCATTGTGATGGATTTAAATTTAAATATTATGGTTCCCACAACCCATTTAGCTTTTAATTGTTTATCTCTTTGCCCTAGTATAAGTACGGGGGACCCATCATTGCTGTGCAAGTGGAGAATGAATATGGTTCCTATAACAAAGACCGTGCATACATGCCTTACATCAAGAAGGTAAGGGCCATTTAATTCATTTCTTTACGCTCCTTCCCTGGAATATATTACAGACTGTGACATGTTGCCCTAACACTTTCCTGAAATTAATATACCATGCCTCCAGCACCACCTTATTAATTAGTGAATTTTTTCCAGTGTTCATTTCTACAGAGTTATCACTTATTCACCCTTTGTTGATTGAGTTTAGTGTGATATGTTTAGTGCTCTTATAGCATTGTTTGTTGTTTTGCTCTTTTGGCTTTTTTGAAAGACCTGCCACCCAGCTTTCAAATAAACCACACATAGAGCCTTTTTCTTAGTTATGAATGCCTGGCTGTAGCTTGGGTTGTTTTTTTGTCAGCTTTTCCTGACTTAAATTATCCCTACTACCTTTGCCAATAGACTTTTATTTTTCTTTATTTCTGTATACCTTTCTTTACTTCTTTCTCTGTGGCTTGCTGTGTAGTTGGGTGGCTGTCCCCTGCTGCCCCCTCTCCTTGTTCTCTTGATCCTAGTTCTCTCATTCTAGGTTCTTGGTTCTCCTTCTCGTTATACTTTCTGCCTGCTATCCCCGCCTATCCTTGCTCTTGTCTTGCTATTGGCCGTTCATCTGTTTATTAAAACCATCAGGTGTTTTAGACAGGCACAGGAACACAGCTTCACAGAGCAGCGTAAACTACAGTCACATACCTGAAAATAATATTTCCCAACAATATAGTGTCCCAGGGGCTAAGAATAAAGGAATTTCCTTAATTAAGGGGAGGCCATGAAAGTTGTGTGGAGTGTCTCCCTCATCCTAGCATAAAGCCATATAGGTGGTTGTGCATGGATTTTATTGAGGGAATGTAAAGTCCCTGACTAGCTACATGCCATGCTCATCCTGAGGACCTTTGGACAGTGCTCAGGCATCTGATTCTAGAGTGACAGTGCAGGTGAGAACTGCCAGTTCACATGGCATGCCAGAGAAGGATGGCAGGGGGACAACAAAGAGAGGCCGACATCCAGATCTGGTTTCTCTCCCTTGGTTGCCGAGGCTTTAAACGAATGCCTCAGTTTCCCTAAGTTTCCTTTTATCTTTTACAAAGTGAGGTTAAAAAGAGCGCCTGCCTCTTTCATGTTATGTGATGTCAAGTGACCTGGTACACAGGAAGTTGTCAGTAAGCGACTTGGATAGCGTCGTTGGCATTTCTTTCAGTGCACTCTGGAGGGCTGGCCATGATGTGAGCTCTCTGGGTCTGGCCGACTAAATACCGATGTTGTCACCCCCAGTTTCATTTTCCGTCTAGAAATCACTTCTGTTCTCACAGACTGGAGACTGACGCCCACATGCTGCAGAGTCTAGTCTCTGACTTCATGCCTCTTCCTTCTTACTTGAAGAGAGCTCTTAGTAGGATACAGGCTGTCTAGGAAGGGTGGGATTGCTCAAGCTGGAAAGGAGCAAGGGAAGCACTGTGCATACTCTAGACAGAGCACACATCTAGCTTCCTTGTCCTGGGTTACCTGGAAAAAAGCCTATTCTGGGCACAGACTCCAGAGCCTCTCTTGCTCTGGTCCTTTGTTAGTCTCCCCAGAGCATTGTCCATCTCCAGCAGTTGTTTACCAGTGATGCAGCTAAGGAAAGCCCTGAGGAGCATCAGGAGGAGAGACTAGCATCTTAGGGGACCTTGTCTGTACAGTCATACTTCCCTGATGCCCAGAGCTCCACCTGTTTGAGGCTCTTGGGAGGATTCTCCTTTGAACTGTGTGTAACTTCTCCTGGGGGTGTGGCAAGATGTGCATCCCACTGGCATTGAATGACCTTGGCCATGAGCCCCTCAACGTTCTGAGTTCTACTCTTATCATTTACAAAATGGGCACAAGAGTGTCTTTTCCTAAGGCTTCTGAGTGTGGGAGCTCTGTGCTTGGCATTTGACTGATACTTGGGAAATAGTTACTGGCCTTTAAAGGGTAAGGTTGGAAAATTAATGCCTATAAAATTAAGGGTGTAGAAAATGAAGTGTTCTGTGTCAGTGAGTAACTAGTTAGTACTTGAAGAAGGTTGGTCCGGGGATTTTAATAGACATTTCGCCAATATTCCTCATGGCTTAAATGTTCCAGCCCCTATCATCCTGAGAGTTGGAGCCCCTTCTACTATGTCTTTGCAGCACATGGGTCTGGCATTAGGGTTAGATGCTACCCCTCTGTTTCCATAAGAATGCAGCAGGGGAGATAATCATCTCTGAGGACTGTTGGAGTCCAAAGTTCCAGAGTGGAGTCTGTGTGGGTGGACATGTGTGTTTTGAGTTCAGCCCCGCCTCTCACATGACCTCTGTAACTGATCATACTTCCTTCAGCCCTTCTGACACTGTACTGTTCAGATGTTGGCTATGAAGAGTGCAGGAGACAGTCAAGTGCTTAGTGTCATGCCTAATGTTCTGATGTCAGCAGTTACTTTGTCCCCCAAGGACAGTTTCATTTATGCCCTCCAAGGGGATTGCTTCAAGTTCTGCTGAGCGTGGGCAGTATTCGATGGCCATGCCAGGAGGTATGGCTGAGTCATAGTAGCTCCTGCCACTGACCAAGCTCACACCAGCTCAAGAGTGGGGAAGAGACAGGCTTCTTGTTTGTGGTGTGGATGAAGGGGGAATAATAGTATTCCACTGGTGCCCTCCGCAGGTAGTTACCATGTGATAGCATGGCATCTAGCCTCAGGGAGCCTGCCTCTGAGTAAACTTATGTATCCCCAAACTGAGCAGACCTTCAGGAGCAATGGAGGCCTGCCAGAGCTCAGTGGCCCTGTCCTTGCCACACTCAGAAACCAAACACTTATTGGAACTTCACTGAATATTGTAAGCATAGACGACATGCAGAGACACGCGTTGCTAGATTTCTCTCTTTCTGTGGACTAACTCAACTTCAGCAGTGACCCTGTAGGAGCTCTGAGAGATGAGGACTGAGTTTAACTGGCCTTTTATCCCCCAAACAGGCCTTGGAAGACCGTGGCATTATAGAGATGCTCCTGACCTCAGACAACAAAGACGGCCTGCAAAAGGGAGTGGTTGACGGAGGTACCTGAAGGAGGCTGCCTGCCTCTGGGCGTGGTCTGAGATAAAAGCTGGAGTTTCCCTGGTGCCTGTGGTACACAGGGCTTGGTTCTCTGGGCTGCAGGGCCATCAGGCTCCACAGCAACTCCCATGGCCCCTTCCTCTTCTTTTTAGCAAGTGCCTTACCATAGATCTTCCAGATACCCAAGTACTTGGCCGGCTGTATCTGGTCATTGTTCTTGGCTAAGCACGTGGGGCGCTCAGCGTGCTACAGGTGGCTGCCCCCATTGACAGGTTTCCTTTTTATCAGAAAACTGCAGCTCCATTTCCCCACCATATCATCAAACCTTGCAGTTATTCTCAGCCCTCTCCTGCCCGGCACAGCAGCTGCTGGCGCATTCTTTTATCTGTACTTTCCTCCTCAGGTGTGTTTTGTCACCTCGGCTGTTGCCGCTCTTCCCACCTGCAATGCTGCAGTCCTTCACGGATCCCCTTCAAGCTTGTCTTAATGCAGCAGTTTGTGCCTACCTTAGAGAATGCAACCCATGGTCAGGCCTTTGAAAGTACACCCCTAGGGAAGTGAAGGCGGGAGGGTCGGCAGTTGGAGGCCAGCTTGGGCTACAGAGTGAGTTCCAGGCCAGCCAAGACTATGTATATTCCTAGACTCCATATTCTCTAACAGATAAGCTTACGACCCAGATCATCCTGCCTTCCCTCTTGAGCTCCAAGTGCTCCATAGAGAAGAAAGAGAAGCATGTACTCCGAGAATGGCTGCATGGGCTGCCAACACAGCAACCCCTGAACACCCCTCCCCCATCTTCCCTCTCACGGCCTTTCTCCACTACCTGCACCCACAGCCCCGACATGACCCTGACTGCACCCCAGCAGTACACCTCACATTCTCCACACACGTGGCTGCCTGAGCTGCTCTCCAGTGTGTATGCTCTTTCCCCGTCTGTTCTACCGTCCTGGCTCTGGTCTGTTTCTCACAGAGCGCTCTCAGTCTGGTGACTCTGCACACCTTCTGGGAATCTGCATGGCTCGCTTCCCTGGCAGTCTTTGCAATGAGGTTTTCTCTGAGCACCCTGTTAGACCGTGCACCCCATTCACAAGGCTCAGCCCACTCTGCCATTTTGCCTTTTAACCTTTGGAATAGCTGCCCTAACTTAGTTCTCTAAGCTCTGTGAGCTCTGTGACCTGGGGCTGTCTCATAGGGCCTGTGCTTGAACATGCGCTCACGCATGATTCATGCTGACAGAGGCTGCGTTTAACTCCTGTGGGCCCCGGTGCTGTGCAGTAGCGCCTCCTCCTGTCTGTTCTGTTCGTTTTGTATTTCCCTCTCTAGACTGACCTGTTTGTAGATGGTGACTTTTAACTTGACTTCCCTTCCACAGTACCTGGCATGGTTGCCTCTGGGAATGACTGCTGGGTAGATGGGGAGGAAAAGGCTCTTATCTACAGCAAGTACCTTGAAGGAAACAGTCATGCTCCTTGGTTCTAACAAAGATCAGTAGTGATTCCTGTTAGTTCCACAAGGTGGCACCATCCACTCATGTTTTCTAGCAAGGCCCATGTGATGGGGTTATGGGGTGTGAGACAGTCTATAAAAGGCCTTTGAAGGTGCTCTCTCTCCATTCCCACCCATCCTTCCCTGCAAGCTCCCACCCTTGGGCAACGGAGATCATTGCTGCCTGGAATAATTATTTTTAATTAAAAAAGTTAAAGCATTCATTCTTATGGCCTATAAGTAAAATAATAATATTTTAAAAAATTTATCAAGAAATACACCTTCTTCCTCATCTCATTCCCCAGAAACAACCATCTGAAACTGTACCTTTTTCTTTCGACTTTCACCTTGCCTTCCTGTTTCTATACAGCCCACACATGCAACTCCACATCTATTGACTTAGCATTCTGAAGCCGTCCTTCTGTTTCCGTGGATGGCTGGGCTTTCCTTGGTCTCACACACCTTCCCTTTCTCACTGGTGCAGTACAGGGCTCATAACATAAAAATAACAATAAAATTTATAACATTAAATCTTTGCTGCAGGTCTGCTGGTGGGCTTCCCTGCTCTGCAGCGTGGGAATCAGGTGGCGAGTCAGAGTGATTAGGTCTCTCCTTCAGTGGGGTCACCATGCCATTTGCTTTTTTTAATCTCAGATCTTCCTCTCTTTTCTTCCCTGCTCCCTCCCTCCCTCCCTCCCTCCCTCCTTCCCTCCCTCTCTTTCTCTGTTGTGGGATGCTGCTAGTTTGTTCCAGGTAGCCCAGACCTGAAATAATCACACAGAAACTATATTATTTGCAATACAGTTTAGCTTAAGTATATTTCTAGCTAGTTCTTACATCTTAGATTAACCCTTTTCTATTATTTTATATTTTACCACAAGGCTCATGGTTTACTGGCAAGGTTCCAGCTGGTGTCTGCTGAGGCTGCATGGCTTCTCTCTGACTCTGCCTACTCTCTCCTCCTCTATCTGCTTGCAATTCCTGCTTTTCCCTATTCTGTGCTGCAGTAGGCACCAAACAGATTCTTTATTAACTAATGGTATTCACAGGTATTCACAGCATACAGAGAGGAATCCCACGTCCTCTCTCTCTCTCTCTCTCTCTCTCTCTCTCTCTCTCTCTCTCTCTCTCACACACACACACACACACACACACACACACACACACACACACAGTTCAGGCTGTCCTCAAACTCATGATCCTTTTCCCCGGTCCTCTTGGGTGGGATTACAAGCATTTACTGCATGCACATTAGGCTCATCCTGACCTTTGTCCCCAAGCCTTGTCACTCCCCATCTCTCCTGGTAAATGTCTTCACAGAGACCTCCCTAGCTCCCATTCTTTGCCTCCTTTGTTTGTAACATTTTATTTGTTCCTTTCATTAGTTCTGCATGCCCTGACTTTCTGTTAGGATTGTACCCAGTTTTTGAGGAGAGATGAAGCTCTCAAGATGGGTAAAGGAAGTGAGCATTTTTCTTGTGGGGGTAAGGGTGCCATGGGGACTGTCACATCAGGAATATCAAATATCAGTGTTAGAGCTACTATAGAGGCCGTCTCTGGTTCTTACACAGATATTTGAGGAACAAATGTGAGGGATGCTTAGGAGCCCCTTGCTCAGGAATCCCCTTCAGTCCTCCCTTCTACTCCTCACCCCGTGCTCCCAGGGGATCGCTTCCTGAGAGTATGTCAACCCTGCTGAAGGCATGGATACTGGAGCAAAGGAGGCTTGACAGCAGGGCTGGGAGGATGCCTGTGGATGGAGAGGGTCCCATTCATGGTCCCATTCAAAGTGGAGGAAGGACTTACGTGATCTGGTGGATAGAAACAAACCCACCCTCCTAGGCTCCTCCATGGTTTTCACTTTCCCAGGCTTTTTTGGCACCTTGTGCTCACATCCCTTCTGCATTTGCTCCCTGCAACCTTTCCATCCCTGTCGTGAATGTGATGGCGTGTCACATGACCTGGCTGTGTGTGTGTGTGTTCAGCTAGCCCTGTGCATTGGGTTGACTTTGAGATTTTAAACAAGCTTCCCGAAAGGAATGGCTACCTTTAGACAGGGAGAGTTCTAGTTGGGGATCTTCCCCTGTGGGTTGCTAGAAGACAGTGACATCACAGGATAATGTCTTGGTGTGAAGGCTCCTGAGTTTGCATCCCTGCTCTGCTGCTCACAAATCGTCGACCACGAGGGAAGTTTCTGTACCTTCACAGCCTTAGCTTTGTTTTCTTTGCTGGTTACCATGGCCCGATCTCCTGAATGGTAACTGGAAGTGGCCAGTCTTTTAGTCACTCCGGATCCCATTCATCTGCAGCTGACCATTCAAGTGGACTGTAAGCGAGGGTCCCTGGAGTCAAGTTCTACAGCTGGCTGTGACTGTGGCAGGGCCATGGCCATCAGCTAGCAGTGGCACTTTGTCTTGAGTGTGCTTTTCACTTATGGGAAGCTGTATACAATACTGGTTGCATTTTAAAAATAAACACATCGTGGAATAGAGTAGACTGAATTCTTATCAAGAAATGAGACATGAGTCTTCATTAAGATCATTGCCCTTGGCGTACAAAGGCCTCACCATTGCACTTGGCATGCCGTGTAGAGCTCAGACTCTGGTCCCTATGGCAGTAGATCAGAGAGCCTTTACTCTGCCTGCAAACATTACAACCAGTAAAATCAGATGCTGAGTGTTGTGGCTCTGTTCTTGAGTGAATGGCGGAGTTTCCAAGAACACAGTATAGGCAAGTCTCTCGGCATCACGACAGCCAGCTTCTAATGGGAGGTGGGATCAGTATTTGCACTAGCTATATATTTTTTTTATGCTGGTGGATTGAAGATTTGGGTAATTCAAAAAGTCTTTGTGACTTCAAGACTATGCGTTTTCTTTCTCTGTTGCCTTCCCAGTGCTGGCCACCATCAACTTGCAGTCACAACAGGAGCTGAAGGAACTGAACAGTATTCTCTTATCTATACAGGTAGGTCTGGCGCAAGGGATGCTGGGGATCTTCTAACATGAGTGCAGGGATTCCGCATGTCTGCACCGCTCCTGGAGTTCTGCGATGGGGGACTCTTAGCTCTCCCAGCCTCTTGGCTCATGCCACATTGCCTGGGAGGGAAGCAGCTTAGAGGCTCTGCTCTAAAGTTTTGTGGTGTAAACTGATGCCATCCAAGTGTGCTGTGCTCTGTTGAGAAGGGCACCTTTTGAAGCTTTTGGCTTTTATGGATTCTGCAAGGCACAGCTTTGCTTTGAGGGATTGAGAGTGAAAAGAAGCCTCTCTGTCCCTACCTCAACCTTCAGATCCTCATTAGCACTGGGAATGTTTCTGATATCCATAAGACAGGAGGCCTGGTTGATTCCAAGTTGAGATGAGAGAGAGGTCTCTGGGTGTGTTTCACCTTCTTCAGATTGATGTTTACACATAGCCCCATTCCAGTTGATGTCTCTGGTTTGTGTGTCTCTCCTAAACAGACAGATGTGATTGGGGCCAAGCTGTATCCCATGTGCAGAACAGAGAGCCCATTTCAGCCTGGCTTATGGAAGGATGTCAATGCTCCCAGCTTGCCCCCACCCACTGCATCTCCACCAGGGTCCTGGAGTGAAACTGCTAAGAGTGTATTGACATGGCTAGATGCCCATGGGGATCCTGAGCCAATGGGGTGGGCGTACTCGAGGTCCACTGAGTAGGTTGTTTGTTCCAGCTGTTGGCCTTTCGGAGTAGGGATGGTATCCTCAGGAACACTCACAAAGTCATAGTGACAGGTAGTACCTTGTAAGCTAACTATGGATGTTTGGTGTGACTACTCCTGCAGTATAGATGGTGGCCAGGAAGGGGCGGGAAGGATCTTAGGAGGAGGGCCAGTCTGGTCGCTGGTAGACTTCCCAGAGGGGAGGGAGAATGCAGGTACATGTTCAAGTGGAGCTCTTCCTTCTCATTTTCTTTCTCCCAGCATGTCTTAGGTCTTTCCTCTGTAGGGGTGCCTGGTCTGTCTTCCTTCATGACTGATTACAGGGCCTCTGTCTTTAAGAGTCTGTAATCTACATGGGAAGAGAGAATCCCGAGATGTTGTCTCCAAGTGGCGAAGCAGAGTTGCAGCTGAGTGCTGCCAAGGGAAGTACAGATTTCGGGAGCTGCTTAGGACCCATTTGACCACCTATTGTGGGACTTTGGACACATTGTTTGGCTCCTCTGTGTTTCTCTTTTTCTTTTATTTGAGTAGATACAATAAGAACCTTGACTTGAACAAGGTAATGTTTGAAAAGTACCTCACTTCTGGTAATGGAAGGAGTGTCTGTGTTGGTCCCTAGGAAACCTGCCATGCCAGTGCCATCGGGCTGGCTGTCCTATCAGCAGAATGGCACCGCTGAAGTACTTTCTTGTATAGTCCATGACATCTGCTGTTGCTTAAATAAAGGGCTTTGTCTAAAGGGCTTCATTGAATGGACACTAGAGACCCCAGTACTGGTTAACTCTGGGGTGTTCATTAGTCCTCGTGTGTATGCCCGGTGAGGAGGGTGATTTGTGATAGAGATTTTTTGAGTACTTCCTATATACGACAGGTTTATACACATCATTTGATCTGATTCTCCCAGTGAGCCTAGGTGCCAGCTACTGTTACTGCTACTGCTATTCATGGTCAAGCAAGGAGACAGAAAATGGATAAGGCACCCTGAAGACAGTCAGTTTAGGGTTGGTTGCACCATATTCTGCAATGAGACAGCTTGGTCCATTCTGTGCACTCACTCCCTCCCTGCACCAGAGAAGGCCATAAGCAAACAGATCCACAGTTGGCACTAAAGGTTGCTGGAATTTAGGACTTTGGCTGCTTTTCCCTTTGGGGTGACTGAAATGTATGCATAGTATGGCATATCTTGGGATGTAGACAGTTTGTAAAGAAAAGCAAAGCTACTCCTTGCTAAAAAAAAAAAAAAACAAAAAAAAACCTGTGGCTATGTTGGATTTTACTCAGGGATAAGTGGTGCCTTTTATACCGTGGACTATTAAGTATACCCCATCTCTCTGGAATATGTTCTATTCCTTTTTATGCAGTTTCAATTGTCAGGCCAGCCCATGAGAGAGGATACTTAATCAGCTGTCACTGAATAAATGAGGAATGCTTCCTGGCCCAGAGCATAAAATCTTAGCAAATGAGTCTTTTACACCTGCCTAGGTGTTTTCAGCTTTTGCAAACATGGTGGAACCAATCATAGTCCCCAGATGGTCTCCATATGCTTGGAGAAAGCAGATGTCACTTCAGTGTTCTGAAGTAACAATTAAGACTTGATCAGTATCCTAGGGGATGTATGGACCCAGATTGTTGCACCAAAGAGCTTGCACCATGAGTAGCAGCTCTGTCAAGATCTGATGCTCTGGTTTAGTTCTATAAACTGTTGTTCAAATCAGAATTAAAAGAAGACCCATCCTGAAGCCTGCTGACTTCCAAATACAGGGAAGCAGTAATTTTGGCTTGTCTGCATCCACAGTGTGGCTTTTGAATGTACTCATCCAGAATAGGACGTTCTTCTTCCCTGGTAGAAGGTAGGCAAATGTTGTCTTGAGCCATAATGAAATCCAACCAGTGTTGGAAAGGGCATCTAAGGTAGTTGGCAAATTCTGATGAAGTCTTACTTTGAGCATAGACTTGCATCTTCTTGCTAGCACCCATCATGCCCTCTCAAAATCACATTAAACATCAACTCTGGTAGCCACTTCTACATTATACCAGCAGGTGGTGAGGCCATGTGTGGTGAGTGAATGATCTTCATCTGTGCTGTGCACCTACAAGTCTCTCAGGCAAGGGGTAGATGGCCAGGGAGGACAAAGGTACTGGGGTTCCTTCTAAGAAGGGTGCCCCTCTCTCCCTTTGGACTAGCCAACCTTCCTAATTCTCATTTTGTGGTACCCAGGGGATTCAACCAAAGATGGTGATGGAGTACTGGACAGGGTGGTTTGACTCATGGGGTGGCTCCCACAATATCTTGGATTCCTCTGGTGAGTGCTTTATTTTGCCTGTATCTAGTATGTGTATTGACCCTGAGCAAGAATGTTTTCCATTCCTTGGCATTGTGTATGGAGTTGGAGGATGCTTGGATCATGGGATCATTTGTGTTCATACTCAGCTCTTGGTATTTCAGAGTCTTGACTTGAAATAACAGTAGGACTTTCATCATTGCTTTTCTGTGTTTTTGTAATTAGAAAAGTAGTATACTTATTACAAATATCTAAGAACTATAGGAAAGTTTAAGGAAGAAATAAAAGTCCTTGAGTATATACCAAGAATTTTGATGTATTTAACAAAATAGGCATCCTACAGTGTTTCTCCAGACAGAGCTAGAGACAGATTGATCAGATCTTCACACCCATCCACCCCCACCCACCCCCACATGCACACCATCCTATACTGCTGAATGTCGGAATACTTGGGGTAATTGGACATCACTCTCTTAAAGAATTTAAAGAGATCTGTTGTGTTGATGACTAAACCACCAGTTAGTGACCCAGTTCCTTACTGATGGTTACTTAGTTTTGGGATTCATTAATTGAATACTACTTACGTGAGCATCCTTGAACATCTAGTTTTGTATAGTTGGTCTATATTTCCATATGAAAACTGCTACATCAGTGCAGTTTTAATATATGTATTTACCACTCCCCTTCATAAAGTAGCCTACAGGTCATTATTAAATGAAAGTACTCATTTTCTGCAGATATATCAGTACTGAGTATTAAAACGGTTTTTTAAAAGTTTTTCCAGTTCACTATTGAGTTTGCATTTACTGTATATATCATACAAATATCTATTAATTGACCTTTTATTTTGTTGTCGGATACTCTCTTAGCATATCCTTGGCTCATTTCCTAGTTAAGAGAGGACTTAGGGATATAGTCAGGACTATTGTATAATGGGGACCCATCTTTTTTGCATTTCCTTGGGGCAGAGTAGCTACTGGGTAACATTCCGGCTGGTAGTGTAGAAACAGCCTACTGGCTACCTATTGTCCATGGAAAACTGAATGACCCAGTGATGAAATGGACCTGGAGAGAATTGGGATGTGAGGGAATTGGGATGTGGGGCTTCCCTTGTGCTCTGACCCATTCTAAACATCCCTCCTTTTTGTTCTCCTTGAAGAGGTCTTGCAAACAGTGTCTGCTATCATCAAAGCCGGCTCCTCCATCAACTTGTACATGTTCCACGGAGGCACAAATTTTGGCTTCATAAATGGAGCCATGCATTTTAATGACTACAAGGCTGATGTCACCAGCTATGGCAAGTATCCCAACTGGTTCTTCCTGTTCCTCCCCAGTGTTTATAGGATTGACGCTTTTGATGGAGAGTCCTTTAGAAAGAGTTTCTGTCTCCTTTCATGATTTTGGTTATATAATGTCCAGGGAAGATAGAGGCTTTGACTGACTATCACTTCAAAACTTCTAGAGTACCTGTGAACACCTTGCTTTGTTGAGGGAGCTCTTGGGGGACCAAGGGAAGGGAGGCAAATCTAGAGTGATAGGGGTAGGGATAGACTTCCCCCTTCTCAGGCCCTTGAGAAGGTTTGATGTTGGCCCCCCTACTTCATAATAAAGCTGCTTTTCTTCAAAATTGCTGGTTTGACAACTCTGTTCCCCCAACCCAGTTTCTCCTCCTTTCTTCTCGTTTTCTTCATCCCTTTGCACTGTTCTGGGGACAGGAGAGACTGTGAAAGGTCAATGACTGTTTTGCAGACTATGATGCTGTATTGACAGAGGCTGGAGATTATACTGCCAAATACACCAAGCTTCGAAACCTCTTTGGAACCTTCTCAGGTACAAACAGGCAGCAGTTTCAAACATCCACTTGGATCCATGCTCTTGCCCAGAGCTTTGGAGTTTCTGCCGTCTTGCTATCCTACCTCAACTCCAGTTGATCCATGGCTTTGTGGGAATCTAGTCTGTTTGGATGCTCACCTTCCTAGACCTGGATGGAAGGGGGAGGACCTTGGGTTTCCCACAGGGCAGGGAACCCTGACTGCTCTTTGGACTGGAAAGGGAAGCGGAGGGGGCCTGGGGGGGAGGGGGAAGGAAATAGAAGGAGGGGAGGAGGTGAAAATTTGTAATAATAATAATAATAAGAAGAAGAGAAGAATACTCAAAGCTACTAGGAATGTAGCTCAGTAGAACTATTGCCCAGCTTGTGTAAGGCCCTGTGTTGCACCCTGAGCACTGCCAAAAACAAACAAACAAACAAACAAAAAACAAGCAAACATTCTAGACAAAGAAAGTTTGAGAGACTATTTTCACCATGGTGTGCCCCTTGTATTTGACAAATACTAGGCCTATTTATGACATATGAAGACATGAGGAAACCCTGCCCTTGTCGACGCCTTGTGTTCTAGAGTAGTTCCAGCCCTGAATAGGGCCAGTGGTTAATTTTGCTGTCAAAATGAAAGGAGTGCATTGAGCTGTGGCTATGAGGCTGGAGGAGACAATGAGGATTGAGTCTTTAAGGGAGGGCCATGGGCCATGGTTTCTGTTGCAGGTATCCCTCCACCTCCTCCACCTGAACTTACTCTTAAGATGATCTATGAGCCAATGAGGCCATCTTTCTACCTCTCACTGTGGGATGCTATCCTGCTCTTGGATGACGTAAGTGCTGCAGGCTGGGCATCAGGGATAGTTATCAAGAAGATAGGACCAGGTCCTTTCCAAGTGGGGTTCCAGGATGAGCAAAGCCACTCTGGCATTGAGGTCTCTTCGCAACCAGGGACCTGAGCAAAGAGAATACAGTGGTGCTGGAGTAGGAATTGGGAAGGAAGAGAAAAGGTTGAACTTGTTGCCCCCTTCTTTAGCCTCTGGGTAGGCCTATGTCACGAATAGAACGAGGAGTGGAGGAAAGGATGATTCTTCCCCCAGGAGAAGGAAGAGGGCACCTGCAGTAGTTCATTCTTTTTTTTTTTTTTAGTAAAAACTATTTATTCCAAAACAAAACAAGTAAACAAAAACCTCTTGCCAAGTAGTTGACATGAAGAAGTGTTTCAATAGTGGTCTGTTTGGGGCAGGACAGAAACCAAAGTCCTCCTCAGGCTGACACTTTGCAGCCACCTCCTCCCTCCTGTTTGGAGACCACGGCAGCAGCAATGATTCCCCTGGCACCTTCAAGTAGTTCATTCTTTTGTGATGCAGAAATGATAGTGGCTTTAGGATTCTAGTAGATTACAGGACTCTAGTGTGATCTGCCTTTTCCTGCTGACCTTATTTCTGTGACTCTAATATTAGAGCCATGAGTTTAAGCTAGTAAGAAGATGGAACAGAGAAAAGAGGTTAGAGAAACCTTGCATCCTGTCCCTGGTGTTCTTGCTGCCTATGTGAAGACTTTGACTTAGGAGCAGCCTGGCTCCTGTGCCTTCTTGTGTCTTGTTATGTAGCCAGTCCAGTCTGAGACTCCCATCAACATGGAGAACCTGCCAGTAAACAACGGTAATGGGCAGGCCTTTGGGTACATCCTGTACGAGACCACCATCTTTTCATCTGGAGTCCTCAGTGGCCTTGTGTGTGACAGGGGGCAGGTAGGAGCATCTCCTCTGAATTCCCAGCACTTTGTAGTGATAAAGCATGGCAATACGTACCTTATCCTCTGCCTTCAGAACCAGCTGTTGCCAGTGGTTGTCTCTCTCCACTAGCTACAGATCACACAGTCCTTCCCTCATAACTGTGGTGCTCACTTCCCTCCATACCCATCCAGCACCTTCATAAATCCCCACAATGGCACTTGTTGTATTGTTTTGCAGAGGCTCCTCGTTTCTCCCTCCTGTTGATCATGACTTTCATCTACTTACTTTGGCAGGTCTTTTTGAACAGGGTATCCATAGGATTCTTGGACTATAAAACAACGAAGATTACTATCCCTTTGACCCAGGTTTGTTATTCCAGGGAGCTGGGTGATGGCTAGCAAACTCAGTAGGAGTCAAAGAGGAAGACCAGGAAGCCAGGAAGCTCCTTAATTAAGAACTGGAAAGAGAAGGGCACATCTAGCTTTCTGACCAGTTGGAGCTCTCACTCCCATTCTCAGAGCATAGAGAATAATAGGGACACAGAGATCCCCAAGTATAGCTAGGCTATCAGGCAGTGATAACTGGTTACTGTGTTCCTGACAGGGTCACACCATGCTGAGGATCTTGGTGGAAAATCGTGGGCGAGTCAACTATGGGGATAATATTGACACTCAGCGAAAAGGTGGGTTCTACTATAGACCAGGAGCAAAGCTATCGTCACTCCTCAGGCTTGTCTATGTGTTCGCCATGGAGCACATCACCAGGCCATTGGGCCCCTTTTAGGGAGGTGGTTTGTGGAGGCCTAATGCAGGGAGGTGGACTGAGGATGCCACTGCAACACAGGTGGCTTGTGGAGGTTTTTTGAAGGGAGATGGTGCCTGCTTTACCTGCATGCAAGTCCTGGTTAATGCATCAGGAGGATTTGGCCACTTTCTCTTTAGTGCTTCATAACTGGATAGTTCGTGTACCCCTGGAAGAGGCTCCATAAGCCATGAGCTGGCCTCTCAGTCTTTGTACTGAAATCTGCTTTGGTGGACGTGGCCTCTCTGTTTGCAAGGCTGTAGGTAAGGAGCAAGGAATGGGAGTATCCTGGAGTCCATGAAAGAATATAATATACCTACATTCCTGGGTCTTCACACTGGATTTCTGTTCTCATTTCTCTCAGGAACACTCATAGGCAATGCTCTGGGCTCAGGGGGAAGCTAGACACACAATGAACACACTGCAGTTTGCTTTCAGGCCCCTCCATGAGTATCCCTCCTGGACACTTGCCCATGTCCCTGGCTTTCTGAATCATTAGACCTTTAGTCCCTTTCTTTTCCCTGTCTGTTTATATGGGAGTAGTTTCCAGTGCAGTTTATAGAGGGAACTAAGTTAAAGTAAGATCTTCCTATGACGAGGAGTTGAGGAAATTCCATTTCTCTTCCTCCATCTGTGTTTGTGATGGAGGAAGCTTTCACCTCTCTTTCCTGGTTAGAGAATGCACATGTCCAAAAAGTGATTTGGCCTCAGCCCTTGGAGCTTCCTCTCCAGAAGAGCCTCAGATTCATTATTATAGTCCCATCTAGCACTATCCACATACCAAAGTAGCAGCATCTAGGCCGCCATCCTAGACCCACAACTGTTTTCAGTATTTCTCCCCAGGCCTTAGCACCTTGCTTAGTCTTCCTTCTCTAGAGCCATCTTACCTCTTTGGTTGTTCTGGAGTTAGGAAGACCTGTCAGACTGTCCAGTCTTTATTTCCCTGGGGTTTTAATTGAGTGTGCCCCGATCATCTGTAGAATCCCGCCCTCTTGCCCTCTTGGCCAGTTCAGTGTTTGCAGATCACAGACCTTCCCTGTGCTCACACTCTAGTCCCTGCTGTGGAGCCTGCTCCGGGACCAGCTGTCTCCACCATTCAAGTGCTGAGCAGCCGTCCTTCCCGTATGCAGGTGCTTACTGCTGGACACCGCTGTGATTTTATCATATCTTCACCATTTAAATGTCTTTAATCTTAGGTTGTGTGGAGAGTTCTGGCTGATTGACCAGGTCTTCTACGCTGAGACTCTCATGATCCACAAAATTAGGCTCTTTGTTACCATTTAGTCACATCAGAAGCCAGATGTCACACCCTGACACCTCAGCTTTGTCTCTGTCCTTGGGTGCCCTGCTCTTTATGTCAGATCCAGGGCTTGACAAACAGTGGTCTTGCTTATTGCCACTTTTAGACATCTCAAGAGAGGCTTTAGTTCAAGTGTAAAGTTCCTTAGGCAGCATCTGCTTTAGGAAAATCCTTGTTTCATCATTCCTAGATTGTCTGCACATGCCCTGACTGCAGCTTTGCCACCTGTCTCCTGACTGGGGGCTTGCTCATCTTTCTTTGCCCACTCTCTCCAGGTTTAATTGGAAATCTTTATCTGGATAATAATCCTCTGAAAAACTTCAAAATCTACAGCCTGGATATGACAAAGTCGTTCTTGCAGAGGTGGGTACCTGAGAGTTGGGTATATGAGGTCATAGCTAATATGTAGCAAGAGCCAGGAGTGCCTTGGTCTCCCTGTCTGGATTCTGCAGAGTTACAAACAGACCCAAAGGGCAAAGTGACATACCTAACGTGAGGGGTAGGGACCAGCTAAAACCTATGTTTCCAGACTGGGAAACGCCCATCCTGCTATCTTACTGCCATCCTATGACCTGGTTGGCAGGCATGTGACTTCTGGCCTTGCTGGGGGGAGGGATGTGCTTTAGGAATTAGATGAAAGTCTGGGAGCAGATGTGAGATGGTCCTTCCCTCCTTTCCCTGCTTACATCCTGTTCTTAGGCTCATCATGGACAAGTGGAGTTTCATTCCCAAAGAGCCCAGCTTTCCTGCTTTCTTCCTGGGCGCCTTGTCAGTGGGCATTTACCCCTCTGACACATTTCTGAAGCTAGAGGTTTGTAGGACCCCTTTCCTTCCCTGTCCTCCCATTTTCTTGGGGCTCTGAGCCCAGTTGGCTTCAGTGGAGTGCTCTGTGACAGCTGTGCCTAGAGACCTCCTTGTCTGTCTGTGTTGCCCCATGTGATAGGAACCCTGCAACTTCTCTGTGGCAGAGGGGTGGGCTCAGAGCAGAAGCACCTGAGGTACTTCTCAGTGTGCGTTTAGGTTCCTCTGGACAGTCTGAGGTTGACTGCCCTGCCTGGAAGACTCATAGCAGTGGGGTGGGCTGACCTACATGGATATCAAATGTTGGTTCACTTTGGTCTTTCAGGAGCATGGTGGATTTCTCACTGCATCTGTTTCTGGTGTGACTTTCCCTTTGGGGCGTTTGTAGTAAATCAAGTCTTTCCCTATTTTTTTTCAAGGGCTGGGTGAAGGGGGTTGTTTTCGTCAATGATCAAAACCTTGGGCGCTACTGGAACATAGGACCTCAGGAGACGCTCTACCTCCCAGGTGTCTGGCTAGAGAAAGGACTCAACAAGGTGGGACTACTTCTAGGCTCACTCCCCTTTCCTTGGGACTCTCTTCCCATCCCTGTTCTTCTGCTACCCCTGAAAAGCCAGGTCACAGATAGGAAAGGGTGGGTATTCCGGCCAACTTGTTCTTCGGCTTTGCTTGGTGATGACTCTGCACTTACCGCTTCCTACCTCCTTCCATCCTCATCCCCACACCCTTCCGCCCATCCTGCTGTCTCATTGTGTTCTCATCCAGCTGTAGGGCAGACCTCATAGTTCAACCCTTGTTTCCCACAGGTCATCATCTTTGAGGAGACAATGGCAGGCTCCGTGGTACAGTCTACTGATACCCCCTACCTGGGCAGGAACCAGTATGTTAACTGAACAACAGTCCCAGCCTTCCTGCTGTGGTTGGCAACGTCCTTCCGTCCTCTGCTACAGGAGGGTCTTCATACCTAGCAACCTCAGGGAACAAAGGGCTATAGTCAACTCAATCCAAAATCCTAAACTTGAGGGGACTACAGAGAAGATGGGTAGCATTGTCTAGGATACCCTCATACTGAAATGGCTTCTCTCCTGGTTTTGTGGTTGAGTCCCTTTCTGCTCCCCTAATCTTTCTGGGGAGGCCATAGAGCTATCTCCGAGGGTGGAGTATGTAGTTGGAGCACCTTCAAAGAAGGTGCTAAAGCTGGGTGGGTACTGCCGTCTTCTGGAAGTGAAAGCCTCATCAGGCCAACCTGCAGGATACAGGAAGGCTTTTTAAACATCCTAGGAGGGCGTGGCCACATCCTGTAGTTCTGCTTTCTGCTCCTGAATTTCCACTGTTTGTAGAGCAAAGAGAAAGCATGTCTTACTTGAGTCAACTTGATTTATGTTTCAACTTTCCTCAGCTATTTCTGGGGTTCTGGAAGAAACATACATTGTTTTTCCTTTTCATTCTGTCTCTTATGACATTGAGCCAGTTGATAAGCTGAGCTTAAGAGAAATAGACATGTTCAGTACTTATCTTCCTAAGTTAAGAGAGCATTTGCTATTGTTCTGGGTGAGGAGGAGAGTCACCAAAGAGGGACAGCTTCACTAGGGGAGGAGCTGGGAATTTTGGCAGAAACCACTTCATATCCATGCTCTTTGAGAGGGAATGGCAGAAGGCTCAGCTAAGTGGCCCCAGGCAGCTAGCTGCTTCTGACCCCACAGAAGAATTTGGGGTTAGCTACAAGTCACAGGTCTAGCAGAGGCCTTGTTTCCTGCTCAGTAGATTCACTGAGCACACCTTCCTTTGACTGAAAAAGCAGCAAGGAGGAGGGAAAGCGGCCAGCGTCCGCCCTGTTGTCTCAGTCCAGATTGGAGACTCTTGTTCTAGGGATTGAGTGCAACTGCTTGCTTTGGGTTTGCCACCCTAAACTGCAATAAAGCAATAGATTTGAAACAAAGCTTCCTTGTGGGTGTCTCCAGCTCTTCAAGAAGGATCCAGACACTGATGATACTCAACTGGTGGATGGCACATGCCCTGGCTTCTTACCACTTTTCCTTATTTCAGTTTTCTTTGAAATGTCATTGTGTTAAGAACAGTCCAATCGCATGTTGGTGGATAAGAATAAGAACATTCTAGAAAGCCAAAACCACAATATATAACTTAGCCATAGGTGATGGTCTCTCTTCATAAATTATATTTGGTATGTACTACTCTAAGCTTGCTATCTTCAATAATAGTGAAAACCAAAGAACACACATCTGTGAGCACAGTGTCCCTAGAGAAGCCCAGGGAAGATGGATCAGGCAAGCGCAGGGTGAGCGAGAGGCTCACAGCCTGGCAGGCTGGATCCCTGAGTGTTGCTGAGAACAAGTTTGCAGTGGAGTCTGGTGTGCAGCAACTGAGCTATGAGCCCCGATAACTTTCTTGTGGGTGGTCGTGGAGCACAGCTCATGTGTCACTGGGTCTGAGAAATTGAGTTTGTTTTTATTCTCTCTCTCTCTCTCTCTCTCTCTCTCTCTCTCTCTCTCTCTCTCTCTTAGATGTGGTCATGTTATGTAGCCCAGGCTGGCCTTGAACTTTCAGTTCTCCTGCTGTAGCTTCCCAGGGACTGAGATGATAAGGTTGTCCCATCATGCCAACTCGAAGGGAGCTTTTTTAAAAAGTCCTTTATTTGTTTTTAAAGTTTTAAAATAAAATTATACGATGATTATTTGTTTGCTGTGTGTGTGGGTTAGGTGTATGACTGCCACGGGATATGAGCAATCAGAGGACAGCCTCCTTGTGGGTTGTCAGGGTTGAGAGCAAGTGTCTTTACCCACCAAGCCATCTTGCTGGCTCTTCAAAGGGGGCTTTTTAAAGTGCAGATTACAGATGATACTTGAAGAGCAAGTCAGACTAAGTCCCCAATTTTACCCATGCTTGCAGGTTCTTCCTGAGATGTCTTGGACTATCAAGTATCCAGATAAAGTGTAGATGAGTCCAGGACTTCTTGAGTAAAGCCAGAGCCAGAGAGCAGTGTTAAATTGTCACTTTAAAGGCCTTGCAATACATACGAGCTTGTTTCTACAAAGCTTCACTAAGCAGTGCTGTCCTTCTGTAAGGGCGCAAGGAATTCTGAGTTACAGTTTTATGCATACATGATCAGGTATGTATTGGACTTTCTGTAGAAATATTTTTCTCTGCTTCCCCAGCCTGTGCCGGCTGACCTTAACTCTCCAGACAGTTTATCCAGATCCTGTGTGCCATGAAACCCATCTCAGTCCCTGCAGAGCACCTCCCCTTAACTGACTTGCCCGGAGACTTTGCTCACCCATTATTTCTTTTGTCTACTCACTGTGTGGGGGTCATGCCTGTGGGATCTTGACACCAACACTTTCCGGTTTGGTTCCCATCCTCACTGCAAGTACGCGGAGAGCTGACCCTGACTATCTGTTGCACGTGCACTACAAGGTCAGAAGCAGAACTCCATTTTCCTCTCCTACACTCTGTCCTGTATCAACAAATGGAAACTCTGGCCTGTGGCCTGGGTCATCTTGGCTGCTGTCTCTTCATCCCACACCCAGCCCTTCTTAGGCATGTTTAGATGCAGCCACTCCCTCGACTCCAGAGCTCGTGCTCCCAACCCAGCCACCAGCATCTTGTTCCTGGCTTATCACAGGGGCTGCCTCCCCAGTCCCCTGCCTTGGCCCATTTATCCTTAGCACAGGAAACAAAGTGGCCCTCGAAGGTCAGCTCCATCAGGGGCTCCTAATTGCACTTAGAGTAGAAACCAACAGCTTTATCCTGGTCTCAGAGGCCAGCTGCTTCCAGGCTTTCTTTCTGACTTGCCAACCATGTCTTCCATGCCCCTGCTCCCACCCCTGGCCCCTGCCCAGTCAATTGCAGTCACGTTACTCTTTTTTTTCTCCTGAGCTATAGGTATGAGTGCACACAGTTGGGGGCGTTTCTCTCTTATCAGGATGCTCTGCCTCAGCTGCAGGTTGGCATGCTGCTGTTCTGCTCAAGGCCCCGTACCAGGGAGGTCTTTCTTACCATGCTTTAAGGAACTTCCGCCCGTCCCACTACTACCCTCCATCCTCTCCAGCAGTTCCGCCCTTCTTCCAGTGCCTCGCACCTGAAATGCTGCATGAGAGTCCTTGTCTGTGTCCTGGATTTGGTGGGTGAGCTCCATCATGCTGGATCCTGACTAGAAGAATGCCTATTCATAGCAGGCACCTGGGAACTATTTGTTGGCTGGCTAAATTAATAAATGAGACTAAAATAAGGCAAGGCTGAAGAGGATTACAACTGTTAAAAACCATATTTGACTTTTAATTTCGAAAACAAATTAAATAGAGTTAAATTAAAACAGACCAGATGGTGCGGCAGCTTGGGCTCCACCCTTAGACCAGCCTCTGCCTGTGGAGCTCCTAAACCCCTGGCTTGACTCCTCTGCGGTGGGGCTTTCCAGCAAGGGAGCAGGGAACAGCCTGGGTTTGGAGAACAAGTTGTCAACACGGACCCAGTTCTACTTGTAACAAACTCATTCTCAAAGGCTGCAGTCCACCGGGGTTGGAATTATAAATAAATACACATGCGGCTAAGAGAGGATATTAGGTGGAAACAACTGAACTAACATCTGCCAAAAATAATAATAACAATAATAAAACCCCAGTTTGTTTTTCGTTTTCAATTTCCTAAAAAGGAGCAGTGGGTTTTGGCTAAGAAGGCAGCCTCAGCAGCTGGTTTGACCTTGGCATTCACTATCAGTTTCTATGAATGGACAGCAGAGTGCCCAGACATAAATCCACTCATCGGATAGATGCCCTGTGCCTCTTTCCTCCCTCTCCCATGCCACCTATGGGATGCTAAGGGGTCAGTTTCCAAAGCAACATCCAAAGTAGAAGTGGTCGGAGGGAATATCCTGCAAGGTGGCTGTGGGATCTGTTCCTATCGGAGGTTTTCCTGAAGACTGTGGGAAGTTAAATCCATTTCAAAATGGGCAGTCAATGCTATTCTCGGAAGGTTAGATGTGTGAACTGAGTCCCATCCACTCAAGAGTGGGTTCTGAACGACTCTTAGGCCTGTCCTATGAGTTTTAATGGAGGGGGAGCTGTTAGCCGTTAAAAAATAAACACTTCTTCAGTGGGCTTGTGGTGCCCTTTCCTTTTCCCCACTTGGAGGAAAATTGTGCTTCCAACTTGTAGGAGCTGGAGCGAGATCACCACCAGAGGGCCGCGTCCAGCCAGAGCCAGCGGCCTCTCAGATGCTGAACCCCAGGCAGAGGCTTCTCCTGGGTGGGTGGGGACAACAGCCTGGGCATACTGTTTTCTCTGAGGTGGAGAGAGTAAGTGAGCAGGAGGCCAGGCTGGCTTTGCAAGCTTTCCCATTTTGTGTAAGATAGAGTGACTTCCAAAGCAGTGTGCGATCAAGTCTCCTTTTCTTCCAGTGTTCAGACAATCCTGCTCTTATCTCCAGATCCCCTGCTAATGCACCCCTCACAGGAGTCAGTGCAGGAAAGGGCTGCGGTTGCTGGGCCTCACACCTTCTCAGGAAAAGCTCCTCCTATTTATTACTGTTAACTCCAGTCCTGAGGTCTATGAGTCTCAGGTTCTGGGAAGAGGGCATTTTGTCCCCGGTCCAAGCCAGGCAAGGGGGCGTTGCAGCCCAGGGGTATTAGAGAGGCAGTGTGGACACTGGGGTCACATGGTTCTTAATCCAGATCAATTAATGACCTGTGCTGGCTCTAGGCCCACCACCTTGCCAATTCTGGCACAGGAGGCTTGAGGGATGTGGGAAGGGGCTTTGTTCTCCCACAGCCTGAGGTACAGGGGGAGCTGTAGGTAGGCCCAGGCTCCCCAGATGCAGGGCCGGGTGCCAGATGGGATCCAAGACAGCCTTATGCCCTGTAAACATGAACCAGAGAAGAGCCAGAGGTATTTGTGATTGGGGAGCAGCTCTGCGGAAGAGCAGGTGTGAAAGAGGAGTGTTGGGGCACCTTCATGCCCCGGGCTGCTCTCTGGTCTTCACAATGTCCTGGCTGGGCACATGCTGTGTAGTCATGCTGGGCCCAAGAGCAGAGAGCAATGGAGAACCATGCTGGACTCAACAGTGGGGTTTTTCTGACCTCCCTCATCTCCAGCATCACTCCAAGTCAGGGTCACCCGCTTACACAGCCCCATCAATGCAGGAGGCTTCCAAGGAGGTGTGCAGAGCCCGGGCTTTGCTGGCTGCTGGAATCCCCAGCCCTCGGGTCTCAAGCCCCTGGCCATGGTGATGGAGAGAACAACAGGTCTGGGATTCTGTGCTTAAATTTCTGTCTTTTATCCTGGCATCAAGCTGGGCTTTCTTGGAAGCCCTCAGAATAGACAAGAGGTGATGCTGTTCCTCTGGAGTCTGCCTCAGAGTGACTATCAGCCATGGGAGAGGATGGAAGGCCAAGATCAGGGTCTGAGAAGGAGATTTCCTGTGTGGGGAAAGTAGGAACAGCACGGGTGTCAGCCTGGGGCAAGGTGGAGCTGGAACAGCAAGTCGGACAGAATGCCCAATCCTGAGCCCCTAGTGGACCCCACAGAGCCTCTCTGGATTCCCTTTGGAGACTTGTTTGAAAAGCAAGTGATGGAGATTATTCCACTGACCCAGTGAGGGCAGGAGGTGAGATGAATCTCTGTACTGACACATTCTAAGAGGCGCTGCCAAGGACTTGAAGTTCAGGGATGATTCCCTGTAGTCACAAAGACATGGAGCCTGCAGATGTGCTGAGACAAAAATCAAGGTTGTGTCTGCTGTGAGCCCCATATCTGGGGCAGGGTCTGGTCAAGGTTGTGTCTGCTGTGAGCCCCCATATCTGGGGCAGGGTCTGGTCAAAGTTGTGTCTGCTGTGAGCCCCCAGATCTGGGGCAGGGTCTGGTCAAGGTTGTGTCTGCTGTGAGCCCCCATATCTGGGGCAGGGTCTGGTCAAGTTTGTGTCTGCTGTGAGCCCTCAGATCTGGGGCAGGGTCTGGTCAAGGTTGTGTCTGCTGTGAGCCCCCAGATCTGTGGCAGGGTCTCGTCAAGGTAGGAGTCTGCTGTGATCCCCCAGATCTGTGGCAGGGTCTGGTCAAGGTTGTGTCTGTTGTGAACCCCAGATCTGTGGCAGGGTCTGGTTAAGATTCTGTCTGATGTGGGTCCCCAGATCTGTGGCAGGGTCTGGTCAAGGTTGTGTCTGCTGTGAGCCCCCATATCTGTGGCAGAGTCTGGAGGAGTAAAAGTCCTGAAAGTGATGCCTCCAAAAGTCCAGAGCACAAAAAGCCCCTCAAAAGTACTTGGCCCGGTCAGTCACGTAACACAGATCTCTTGGGCTAATGTGTCACTTTAGGCTAGTCATTTAGCTTCTTTTCCGAACATCATTGTCACTTCTCAAGTGTAGGTAAATATGGTGGTGGTCTACCCCAATGGAATTTAAATAATCGAGATTAAGAATTCTTACATAGGGGTTGTTATGTGCTACAGACTAATTTCAGTGCCCTGGCAGCCCATTCTACATATAAGAAAAACCAGGAACAGAGAAATGACACCAGGCTGAAACAGGAAAGTGGTATCCTGGCAGTGGTGTGGGCTCCAGGATTCCTGCTCAGTGAGCTCCTTCACCTACTACTGAAAGCCATAGGACCACTGATGTGGTGTAGTGTGATCTCAGCACAGCTCTATACTGGAAGTAACCCATGAACCGGGTGAAAACATCCCCCACTGTGGACCATCATGGCCAGCATGACAATAACAATAAAAGAAGGTGATGCTTGCAGAAGGACCCGGCTGTATGCATGAAGCCTGCCAATAGCTGTTGGGAGCACAAGAGGAAGGGGGTCTTTGGCCATGCTTCTGCCCACATTGGTCTTATGCTCCCAGAGCTAAGGACCATGAGGAAAAGCCCTCAGAGATGGAGGATGTGTCCCAAGAGATGGAGGATGTATCCCAAAGCCCTCAGAGATGGAGAATGTATCTCAAGAGATGGAGGATGGAGCTGTTTGTGCAGTGCCCTGGCCACGCCGGCCTTCTCTCTTACCCGCATCCTCATCCTCAGATCTCCACCGACGGGTCAGTGAAGCCCTTCTTCCCCTCATTCACCAGCACTGGCTTCTCTGTCCGTGTGTGCCAGACCAAGATCTGCATGGCCAGAGACACAAAATAAGTGGTACAGATCCCCAGCTCATTCTGCCGGCGCCTGGCTCCCTCCCACAACCTGCAAGGATTTCTTCTGCCCTTTCTCTTTCCACCATTGCCCCATCAAGATTTTTTAAACTGTTTTTTATTTCTATCTACTCATTCTAGAACTACAGAAAGAGACACCTCTCAAGATTTCCCAATATGCATGTGTGTATGTATATGTGTATTTGTGTATGCACACATAGGCAGGCATCTGTATGCATGTCTATGTACATATTTGAATATGTACATGTATGCATACATGCATCTGCCTTAGTGTATGCATGTGCATACTCAACCAGGGTCATGGAACACAGATGTCCCTATGGAGGGCCAGTGATCTTTGGAATTTCTCAATAGAAATCCCTCCCCATCTTTCTGCTTATCAGTATTATCAGTTTATAATAAGCTACCCTCCTGGATGGGGACTGTAGACAAAGCTATTTTGAGGCCCCTCTTCCTCCTGGATCTACAGGTCTGGGGGTTCTTGCCTTACTAGCCATCAGTTATGAAGAAGGTCTTACTTACCTTGGTGCAGTTTGCTGCCTTGGGCTCCAGGTCATTGAGGGTGACCAGTTCTCGAAGGAGGCTGCTCTCCTGGTAGCCTCCCTTCACACCGCGGAGTTTAAAGTAGGCTTGACTTCGCTGCAAGATGAGCCGCAGATTGACAGCAAATCCAGCCATGTCTATGGCAAATGGCCGGTGGGGGTCGAACACTGTCTTCCAGCCAACCACCTTCCCTGCCCCATTCACCCTTGGGGCCTCGTACCGAAGGCCACCAACGAAGGCCACAGGCCACACGGACACCCTCCTTGTGCTGCGCATCTACAAGGTGAGAACCTGAGTCAGGATACGGGTCTAGGATGTAAATGCTACCCTTTCCCATAGGAGGTAGATCACTTACTGGGTGTGTGTGGGTCCCTCCCAGTCTGTCTGCAGACCCCCTGCCCCTGACCTCTCGGGGAATCCCTAGAGGACTCTCACCTAGGCATTCAAGGCATCTTTCAGCTAAGATGTTGGTCAACTTCTCAATGTGGCCCGATGGCAAAAATCTCTTAATCTTGTCATTTTAAAATCTGAAACGTGCCTCTCTCCACAAAACTTAACAGGCAGGCTCAAAATGTCCACCCAAGAGATTTCTGGTGCCCATGTTAAGTGATCCCATAGAAAGGGCTCTTTCAGGGAACAAATCTCTAAGGTCAGGTTGGGGAGTTACAAGCCTCAACAGGCTTCTTTTTAATGTGCTGGGTTCCTTTACCTTATACTGAGGTTTACTTTCCCTGATTCTCTGCAGTGTGAACCAGCCCAGCCTAAGGTTTCCTGTATGTGTCTATGCATGCCTTAGCATCTCCTCATGGGGGCTACCCTCTGCTCCAATCTTGGTCTGAGCCCCACATCCTTCAGTTTTCTTGAACTCCACCTGCTACTCTCCCTCCTCTGGTCCCTAGCGCACCTCTTCAAAGAGCTCCAGACTGTAGGTGTTGTCATCATCCGCGAAGTACACTACACCTGGCTGCGTGGAGTTCCGTGGGAAGGTCTCCCGCAGCCAGCGCAGGGCCAGGTTGCGTTGCATGGTGCCGCGAGGGATGCGAGGGTCTCTGGCATCACCTCGCAGTTTGTAGTTGCGGGGTGTCTCCACATGCAAGTGTGTGTAGTTGAGGCCAGTGTCGCGCAGCAGGCGCGCTGTCAGGGGCGTCCTGCGTGGAGCGTCCTCCACCACCAGCCAGTGCAAGTTGGGCACATGCAGTAGTGTGTTGGCCATTCGTGTCAGCTCTGCCTTCTGCACCGGTCTACTGTAGGTGGGCGTCACCACGTGGATGGTGGGCAGCGTGTCCGACCACGGTGGCGGCCTCGTGTACACGTACTCTGTGCGCACCACCTCCACGATGTCTCGGTCGGACATGCAATACTCCCTAGGGTCCGCACCGGGTGGTGCCTCACGCCGGGGGTCACTGCCCTCATCTGCAGAGGTGGGAGAAGGCGGTGCGGGGAGGGGGTAGGGGACGAGGGCGCTGGCCTGGCTCTGATACTTGGCCTTCAAAGTCACCCACCCTTCCAAGACAGTCCTGTCCTCTGCCCCTCTGAAGAACTGCTTCCATCTTTAGACCTCACAGACATGGAGTGGGGGAGTCATTACTTCCTTATTTTTTTAAGTAACCTGTTTCAAGTTGGGACAGCTCTGAGGACCAAGGTTTTCTTACATCTGGAACCTTTTCCTGGCTGGGGAATCTGGCAGGCCTCCTAGGAGGAGCGATCAGGGCTATTGGCATTCTCATTTTCATCAAATCCCTGGTCTCCAAGTTGAACTTTTGGGTTTGAAGGATTCATGAGTCAAATACTATGTAGTTTCTACTGCTCACATATCTCAGCCGGGATGCTAATGGTCAGAGGGCAGACTTGGAAACCTAGGCTCAGGTGCTACTGTCTGCTGTGACTAACTGCAAGGTCTAAAACAAGTTTATTAGTTTCTGGTACCTTGATTTTTGTGGTCATAAACTGGAGCTAATAATACTAGCGAATGCTAATAACATCTGCTTGGTGGAGTTGCTGTGTAGATAACAACACACATCAAGGGCTAAACCACTACTAGGCACAGTAGATGTAGACAGAGGACACTAGCTAGCCTGCTTCCTTGTGACTCTATGTATTTATGTGAGGGCGATATGAGCAAGCCACATGAAAGGGCTGGAATGTAGACGCAGAGGGTCCTGGGTCATGGCTCCTTTGTTTTCTCCTATGGTCCTGCCATCACCATTAACACCAAGGTTTGCAAAGTGTGGAGCCCAATACAGATAAACCCAAGTGATCCACCTTTGTCTACTGCTTACAAGCTAACGTTGCAAGAGACATGGAGTCTGTTACCCAGGCCATAGATCAATACTGAGTATGTGTAGGGGGAGGTGAGGTGGGAATAGGAGGACTGGCAGGGATGTAGCTCTTCAAAGGGAACTTTGGGGTTTAATTGAAAAGAAGCAATGTTGAGGAAAAAGTGGTAACATTCAGGATATTTTGAGCAGGATGTAAGAATCTATCTATCTATCTATCTATCTATCTATCTATCTAATCTATCTGTCTATCTCTCTAGTAGCCAATATTATTTTGGAAACTGGGGCTGAGGATGAAGACTGAGAACCATTTTGTACAGCCCTCTGCTGTCCAGATCTTCCTAAACATGTGGAAGCCTATGTCCTGGGGAAGTTCTCCATGTATAGGGCTGGGCTATAGCCTGCACACTCCCCTTCCCCCTGACTTCAGGGCTTTTGCAACCCTGAATCCTAAAAGGCTGTTGGTGTGATGTCTCTGACCCTCATTCTGCCAAGAGGACAACAGACATTATGTCATTTTATATATGGTAGTTTTAACCCCTCTGAAATGATGTATTCACAGGATAGCAGTGAGTCTCAACTGACAAGCCCCAAAGAGAGGCAATGGGGTCATGAGCAGCAGATGACGTCATGCAGAAAACCAGAGCGCCCAGCAAGGGCAATGGGGTGGCTAAGAAGACTGAGGAATTTCAGAGGGAATGAAGGACTCACTGCGCCACAGAGCAACCATCTGCTAGGAAAAGAACCTGGGCATTGTCTTCTTTGCTCCCAGGGAAAATGGTACACATTGCAATGGGAGAACTGCCTGACCGAGGTTGTAACAACGAGGTGGGGCAGAAGGTAGCTTTAGTAAGTCTGAATGAGAGGTGGCTCGATGTGGGAGGCAAGGAAGGTCTGAGGGTGGAGATTTGGTTGTGAATGAAAAAGATGACTCAGGACTCATAGCCCGAAGGACATTGTTTTAATCAGTTTCCCCCTTGCTCTTGGGAAAACACTTTGACTCTTCAGGCCTCTGCCCAGTTAATCTCCTAAGCAGGCATAGGGGGCAAAGGGCGTACTGTCCTTGAAAGGTTTTGCAGCACAAACCTGGGATGTAGCTCTCTAGTTATAGCACTTACCTACCCTGCAGCAACAATTCAAAATTAAAGTTAAAACAAAAGCACTCCCTGAAATTACAATATAGACCAGGACTGTACTCCTTCCTCGGCACCCCTGCTGAGCGGCCCATCCTTGCCTAGTATGGGACTGGGTATGCAGGTTTGTATACACATCAATCCTGCTTGTTTTAATTATTTAAAATTTCATACTGCTTGGACAATTCAGAGCGTTGTGGACATCTGACATCCGACAACCAGTAGGCCAATCTTCCTCTGGCCTAAATCACCCAAGTCTGCAATACAGGGCAAGTGAACCCATCCTAATGTCCAAAATTCCACAGAAATCATCAAGTCTATCACCTTTTGAGCCTGACATGATGATGTTTGCTAGTAGTCTTAACACTTGAGAGGGTGAGGCAGAAGGGTTTTCAGGAGTGTGAAGCCAGTCTTGAACTGCACAGTACTAGGCCAGTCAGAGCTGTATAATAGTACCTTATCTCGAAAAAGGAAAATCTGACCAAATAATCCACTTCTAAGCTTGATCAGCTCTGATATGGCCCTTCTCTATCTGAAATGAGCATATTACAGGTTCCGTCCTAGCTCTCTTTGCCCCTCGGCTTCCCCACCCAGAGCCCCAGTGCTCCCCCATGCTGCCTCATAGATCACGGTATACCCACTCCTCTTGAGAGATAAAAATAACAAGTTGCCTTTCAAGCCCATTGACTTGCTGTCTGTCTGGATTGTGTCATACTTGATTATAACAGATCCCAGGTACTTAAAATTATGTGTTTAGAGAGATGGGGGGCAGGGGTGGGGTGGGGAAAGAGGGTGAGGGGAGGCTTTCAATGGAGTCTTAGAAGGCCAACATTCCCCCAAGGTAAGGTCAGGGCCCAGGTGTCAAAAGAATAATAACAGGGTAGCTTTTATTACCAAAGCCAAACCAGGGTGGGAGTGGGGTTGGGCTCACCCTTGTGCACAGCCAGCAGAGGCGCGAGGCTGCTCTGGTGCCAGACGGTGATGAGCAGCGTCCAGGGAAGCACGATGAGGACAATCGCAAGGATGTCCCGTCTCTTCGGCATCTCCAAGGCTGGCTGCACCCACAGCTCCTCATTACCTGGGCAGTGGCAAGGTCAGGGGGGAGTGGCCACGGAGGAGCATCGGCAGCACAAAGGAGAAAAGAATAGGCATTGGGCCGGCCGGCCAGGCACAGCGAGGCAGAAGCTGAACACTGGCCAGTCACTCTCACCAGCGCTCACACCCACCCATTGCGGAAGCAAGCGTGCAGAGTCCAGCCTGACGGGAGTCTGCGAAGGGGCAGTCGTCCAGGGCAAGGTCAGGAACCTTCAGAGGTTGATACCTGTAAGAAGGAGCAGTGGGAAATGACCAGAGATGTGGGCATGGATCACAGAGACTGGCCTACTCTACACCCATGGCATCCAGAATTTTTCAACCGAGCGTCAACTTCTCCAGAACTTTTTCTGTATAGCTGTCTGGGTGAATGTACCTCCATCCTTCCCTTGACATGCAGACATGTTCAGGAACAGTCGAATACAGTGCCTAAAAACACAAACTTCAGAGACATGTCCATTGGTTTAATTCTAACTGTGGCCTTTGGACAGTTCCACCAACTAGTTACTTGTACTCGTTTTTCACCTATTAATCAGTTATCTGCTTTCCAACGCTGCTCTCAGAATTAAATGAATTAATGCTCAGGAAGCACTCAGGGTGGTCCCTGACAGCAAGGTACCAGCAGCTATGGCTGCTGTGATGTGATTAGCATAGGCGGTTCCTTAATAACTTTGGTCCAGTGTCATAGTTAGGGCCTCCTTCAAGGGTACGCAGAGGTGGTTAGATTGGACATCACACAAATGCCTAGGTGTGCTCCTCTGTTTATGTGTGTAGGGGATTTTTGTAGGGCACCTTCTCCTCACAGAGTCAGCCTCAGGACAGAGCTGGCTGTCAGCAGGGAGAAGGGGCTGTTTTCTGAGGAGCTGTCAGGTAGTAGGGAGACACTCTCAAAAATGGCAGCAGTGAGAGCCCCAAGAAAGACCCTTGCTGTAGAGTCACCCAGTGGAATTCACCCCGGATTCTACAGAGGGTCTGCCGGGAGATAAACCTTTGGGAACTTGCTCTCTGCTGTGACAGGAGAATAAGAGTAGCAGCTCTCAGCTCCCTTAGGAATGCTTACATCCTTTCCTTCCTTCCTCCTCCCCTCCTGTGCAGACGCTCTGGTCCGTGGCTGGTAGAGCCCTTAGCACCTGGCCGGCCCTCATCATGCTCATCATGCTGAAGTCCATCACTCCATGGTAGACAGTCACCCTGACAGCCATCCCAGAGGCCATATTGTCTGCCCCACCCAGCCCACATATGTTCTTAGTCCCTGCCGAGCTTGAGAGTTATGACCAACCAGAACATTTTGTGACCCAGTTTTGGAAATCGCGTGCCTTTATTTTCTTTCTTATGTCTTCTCTCCTAGCCCTAGTGTCTTCTGGGAGACCAAGTCTTGCTTTCTACTTCAGAGTACCGCCCTGCGTTAGCCAGCATCCCATGCCCAGTCCTTCTCATGAAAGGCTCACAGCTTCCAGAATTAGTGTTAGCTGCCCACTGCCCCATTTCTTAGGCAATGAGACCAGAGGGTTAGATGCTACATTAGAAGCCAATCGCGAGGCACCCGGGAAGAAGCCAATGCTGAACGAGGTACAGCATTTCCTGCAGCTCCCTGTGGATGCAGTCTCTCCCCTCCGAAGCAGTGTTTGGAGGTAAGGCCTATAAGAGCTGATTATATAATTAAGAGGGATTAATGGCCTTCTCACTTCTTTGAGAACAAGTTGTTCTAAAGCAGAGGTACCGCTCATGCCTCCTCTCTTCCATGGCTGTTTACTCAACCTCCTGCCATCCTCTGTGAGCAGCACATGGTCCTCACAAGACCAGGCTCTTGCACTTCATCCTCCAGAACCACAGAGCAAAAAACTCCTTTCCTTTATAAACAGCTGGCTCTCGATTATCCTCTTACAGGAACAGGCAACAGACAAACATAGGGAGGCCAGATTTGGCCGGAGCTTCAGAAATGTCTGGTTCTCAAATGAGCCTGGAGCAGGTGAAGGTTCTGAGTTCAGATTAGGAAAAAGCAGAAGAAAGGAGGTGAGCACTCTGTCTATGTGGGTGCTTGTTTTCCTGCATCCTCACCGCTTCTTCTGGGCAGCTGCTTAGACCTGTGGCTCGCACAGCCTCTCTTGTATGTGCCTATGCCACGGCTCATGATAGCGAGCTTTCCTACAGCGTTCATGGTCTCCAACGACAAAGAGAAATGGCAGTGTTTACACTCCTTCTCTGGGCTGCACTCGGCTCCCCCAGAGGCAGGTGCCCGTGCGTCTCTATTCGCAGCTGGCTTCACTGAAGCACGATGGTAAGCATCTGCCCCTGGTCAGAGATGAAAGGATGGAGCCAGACTTACATCAAGGCCATGTGGCTCCAGGCTGTTGCCTGGATAAACACTGGCTTAAGAACCACCTTTCTTCATCATAGCCCCCTGTACTGTGAGTTCCTATATCCGCTGGATGCTGTATCAGGAAGAAGGAACAGGAAGGGACAATGAGAAGGATATTGGCATGATGTAGGGGGCATTAGGAGTGTCTGAGTCCATAACATATTTTTGGTCAAAAAAAAATCTATGCAAGAAAAGGGAGAGAAGACAGAGAGACAAGCTCTAAAAATAAGCTTAGCAATAAACCCAGTTGTGCGTTAATTACTCTGGAAGCCATTACAGCTCGAAAACCCCATAACTTTAATGGAGGCTATTATAAGCATAGTGGCAAAATCGTGGAGCTAATTACCAGGCGGTTATTAAGTAGAGCAGAGAGTGCCCCCAGACTTGGAGAATACCATCTGGCCAGCAGGGGTTGTATCTACTGGCAATGGTGCCTGGGTGTGGGCAGGAGGCCAGAGGGTGGGCCTGTCTCTGCACTGGACTCTGACACCAAGGTGGCTTGTCACACGAAGGCTTAGTCTCAGCCTAGGCTAGGAGGAATTGTGGTGATTACATCAGCACGGACCTCAGAATGGTTTCCAGAGCCTTGCTGGGATAGGTGGAAGAACCAATAGAAAGCTGGGAGACATTGGGAGACAAGGAGGAGAGAATGGTGTTTGAGAAACAGGTGGCTGAATGGGGCTTTATGGTGAGTTAGGACATGTCTGTGTGGAGAAGGCTGGGAGGTGAGGGTCATGATTTCCTATGCCATTGCTCAGACACGTGCTCCTGACTGACCTGAGTGACTGCTGGCCTCTCTGCCCAGCAAGTGTGGACACGAGGAACCTTTGTTCCCCCGGTGTTCTCTAAGCATCCCATGAGCAGGGACAAAGGCTATATTGGGAGTGTAATGGGTAAGGCTCGGTGAGGAATGGCCATTGGATGAGTAAGAGCTAGGACAGTGGCAGGGCATGTCCTGGACACCAGGAGTGGCTCTTCACACTGCTCACCTCCCTGACCTCTACTTTAGCTTTAAAGCGTGGGAGATGACTGGGATGTGAGTTTTCAGCTCTGCTATTTCAACGACCTGAAACAATGATGTCCTGCACGAGGCAAGAGAGGTCCAGGTGGGTATCCCGTCCAGAGTCAGTTTTTGAGGGCCGCCCTTACATCTGCCTATGGAACTGGGTCATGCTGAAAGCCCACAAGCCCTTGGAGATAGAGCTATTCACAGGATTTTTCTTCTGCAGGCTTCAAAGTGCTGTGGGCTACAGATAAAAAAAAGTGGGATGTGGGGGAATCAAAATGAAGAGCTCTTATTATCCAAGGCTGGAGGAGTAGTAGCCACTGGCCCAAGAGGGCCCGGGTGGTGTGTAAGGTGGGCTCAAGGCTGGCCAATTCCCCAGAGACAGAATGATTTTCTTCTGAGCCCACAGGTGTTTCAACAATGGCCCTGATACCTGAAGATGGGCTTATTGATCTCCACTTGAAAAATATTAATTGTGCTTCAAGCCTTTATGCCCAGTAATTCTGTAACATAGTTAGCTCTTCAATTAGAAGACCCATGAAGACGGATGCCTTCCAAACTGTGGGTTGTGGTTTTATTTTCAGTGAGATAATTCTTGTCTAGGGTGTGTGTGTGTGTGTGTGTGTGTGTGTGTGTGTGAATTTCTAGGCTTAATCCCCAGCATCATAAAACCAACAAACCAACCAACAAAGGAGCAAACAAACACCCATGAAACACTTTTCATCCATATAGAGAAGAATGTGGAACATTACTGAGGGGCCTGGGAGCTGACACAAGCAACAAAATCTCTTTCTAAGGGATCACAGTCAGCTTCTCAGGAGGGGCCGAAACTGGGGACCTTGGTGACTGGGGAAATTTTTTGGCTCTTCTTGGGAGTGGGGGTTAGAAACAGAAGAATGAGGAGGATTTGTAAAGAAGATAAAGATGGTGGGGTGTTGGCCCCAACCCCAGCATCTCTCTTCCTTACACAGGGCCTCTGCACAGAAGCAGAGGCACAGACTTTGTTCCAGAGATCTACAGGAGCCCCTAATGGGATCAAAGGATTAGTATTGATTCTGCAGGCACTGCTCAGGAAAAGCCCAATGCCAGAGCTAATCAGCTTGCAGCCTAGTCAATCCATACTTCATTAACCCAGCCTCAGCCCTTCAGCCACAGCACTGCTGCCTTGGGCCCATGGTCTCTCCTGGGGTGCAGGACAGGGGCACTGGCTGCTCCCAGAGTAATAGCCCCTCGAGCCTGTAGGGGGCCTACAGAGCCTTCTGCTCTTCTGTCATAGGGAAGAAGAGGGAGGGAAAGGGAAGAGGTCTTCGAAAAGTCCCCCTCTGAATCCTACCTTGACACTTGGGGGTGTGCATTTTTGTAAAGCCCAGCTCCTTCATAGTCTAAACAGCTCTTCATGGTAGGCAGGAGATATTGTCCCCACCTTGTATAGGAGGGAACAGGAGCTTAGAGATGCTACACAATAGCTTCAGATCTCAGTGTTCAATGTAGGTGAGGCTATGGAACTTGAATCCTGCTCCCTTCAAAACCACTCTGCTTCCTTTGTATGGATTCTTCCGTGTCTTGCTTTCAGGATTTTCTGGCTCACCCTCAAACCCACTCACTGGAGACTCCTACCTAGGGAAGGAGCTATCAGGCTGCCAAGACTATGGGTTTTCTTCATCATACTTTATGTTGTTTGAAGAGAGGAAAGCCTAGACTAGGAAATCATGATTCCTCCCACTTTGTGGTCTGGCCCTTGCTGCCTGGCACATGTGGGACTTTAATAGGTAGGGCAACCTGAGGCTCTGATCTCCTGTCGTCTTGTCTCCTTCCAGCCTGGAAACCAAGCTGAGGACTTAAGGAGAAGGCAGTATTATGTTACCCCAGATCTGGTGTGAACAGTGGCATTCTTTCCTTCCAGTCCAGCAGTGTCAAAAACCATGGGGTTTGTTGAATTTCTTTGAAGTTATTTCTTTTTCTTTTCTGGAAATAACCTTGAATTAGATTTAGATTATGAGTATGTGAAAAATAAAAATTGGGTTTTAGCCTAGCATGGTCCTCTGCAATCCTGAGTCCTCTCTAGTCCATGGCAGAAATTTAAACACAATAAATAATGGTCCTGGCTGGGTTTCCTGAGGCTGCCTGTGTTATGCTAGTGGTCTATAGACCAAAATACATGAGACATCCACTTTCCATGGAGCTTCTATGCAAGAGGACCTTGATCAAATACCCATATTTTGTCTTGTGGGACCGTCACATGTCCACGCCTATTGCTGAGTATAAATAGTCAGGGCATTAACAATAGATACCTCACTGCTTGACTCTTGAGGATGGGCAGAGCCAAACAGGTCACAGCAGTTGGAGAGCCGTTGGAGAACTGAGGACAGCTGGAAATGGAGGAGCGCCAGTTAGGAGCCACCATGCCGCAGAGGTATGACAGATGACTGTTTAGACTGAGGGGACAGAGTTTGGTGTTTGGGTGGGGGAAGGTGTGTAATAACCAATGATAGGGCAGTGGTTAGACAATATAGGGTCATTCAGCATTTGCCTCCATGATGTGGGAGAAAGTCCCGTGTGCAAAGAGCCCTACATTCTAATCTGAGGCCAGAAAGAGGTTCAGTTTCTCCCTCCTCCTTTGTTCTTTGTTGTTATCTCCTCTTCCTTGCCATGGGCTCCTTCTACAAGCCATGCCAACTTTTGGAGGGAATTCGCCATCCCCAGGGAGTCACATTCATTAGTTATTGTTATCTAACAAGTTACTATATGCTCAGGAACGTATTTAGCATGTATTTGCTGTCTTCATTGTCCGAGGTCAGGACTCTAGGCCTGGGTTGCCAAAGTCTCACCAAAGGATTGGCTGGGCTGCATTTTTATCTGTAGGACTGACTGGGGAAGAATCTGTTTCCATGATTACTTGGGTTGTTGGCAAAACTCACTGGGGCCACAGGTGCTTACTGCTTACCTCCTATAGCCTGTCTATGTCACAGCACCTTGTCATATAAGGCTCTCTTCTGTTTGGCTTCCTACTGTATGAATTCAGCAAGGAGAGAATCCAGAGTTAATTGAAGTCCTACGTGATGGAGTCTAACTGTGGTAGTGGTAACCACATTTTATTGGCTAGAGGCTAGTGAGAGGAATGGTAGGATATTGATTTTAAGACCGCTTGGAGTTAAAGATCTTGGGGCCATCTTAGAGGCTGCCCGCCTACCACAAACATCCAGGCGGTCCTCCCCTTTTTTAGCTCCTTAGTTCTTGCCTAACCATCACAGATTTCACCAGTAACCTCGAGGACCAGCCAAGCCATATGTTTTATCATTGTCTCTGACCCCTCTGCCAGTTCATTTCTCTTTCCTCTGCCTAGGAAGAGGGATCCATGGAGGAATGGTTCAACAGTGTAAGAGCTTGGGTCCTGGGCATCTTGCGAACCTCTCTCCTCCTACACTGTGGCAAAGGGACTTTGTTGAACCTTCATTTTTTCATGGGACCAAAATGGTGTTTCTCCAGGTAGGTTATTAGGTAGTTAGGAAAAATTAGCATAAACACTCTGTCATGTAGTTGGTACCAATAAATAGATGCTCCTGGAACCGTGATCCACTTAGCCTGGGATGGGTCTGGCATGGGATTCCTAGCTTGCTTCCCTTTGATTACTTCCACTGATACTCCAGTTGGTCCCCCAGGGCTCCCTTAAAAGAACAGGTAGAAAGGGAGAGTCTGGACTAGTCAGAGACAGTTCCTTCTCAAGGGCTAACCTTGGCTTTACCGTATGACATGAAGTCACAGAGCAGAGTCAGGGTCAAGGCGAGCCTCAGGGAAAGGGTCTTACAAATGTTCTGGGAGGAAGCCCAGTAGGGCCCTTCCAATCCATGACTCTTCTTCCACTGGAAATCTGCCTCCTTGCCATGGCATCCACCGCTTCCCCCCTATTTCTATTTGCCAGGCTTCTGCCATTGCTTGGTGTGCCTGGGAGTGAACACCTGTGTCCAGTGACTGTTACAGACCCTGGGAGGTAGAAGCCTGGTATCAGATCAGGCACTGTGCTTCTCCCCACTGCCCTTATGGAGCCGATAGGGTAGAAAAGCCGATAGGGTAGAAAGTGTTCATTTAGGAAAGGTGTCTCAGATGGCTGCCCTTCACCTTCCAAGGTTTGATATTTATAATTTAAATCTAGAAAGGGCTTGGGACTGAACCTTTCATCCAGACAACACATCAAGGCTGATGGCAAACCACAGAGCACCAACTGAGTGATTTCAGAGGGCGAGAGTTCACTTCATGACACACACACGGACTTGCACATATGAGCAGAGGTCTAGCGTGCCACCTGGGTGAGAGAGCATGAGTGTACAGCTCGGTTTTGGTTATGGCTTCTAAGGAAGGTCTCTTGGGTAATCTTGTGGTTGGGTCTCTGTTGGAATGAAAGGCTATCTCATGTGCCTTTGACTTCCGACGCTTGGGCCTGGGATTATTATAGAAGAGATGACACCATCATGCCAGTGTGCTCTCTCTGCAGTGCTGGAGTAGGAGGCAGCCCTCTAAAGATTTCATGAGGGTGGTTTCCAAGTTCTCTTGTGCTGTTTATCTCATGTAATCATTAAACCCTTATAATTCCAAATCTTTTCTTTCTTTCTTTTTTTAAATAGACAAAGAAGTTGAGGCACTGGGCAGGGGTTATATTTCCTCAACTGTCCCAGTAACAGATAGTATGACTCAACCATATGTCTTTTGACTAAAATCTGTGGTTGGCTTCCTGTTGAGATAGTCTCCTGCTTAAGAGTGGCAAGTCCTCCCTCTCAGCCCTGTGACAAAGGGCTCTTCCCCGCTGAAGCTGCATATTGGAATGGCAAATGAGAAACTGAGATTCCCTTGCCCCTGGCTCACCAAAGCTGGTGTGACCTTTATACTTAAAAAACAAATCTCAAGTAGGATGGGTCTGAAAGTGTGATGAGAGGATGTGATAACTCACAGGGGTCAACAGATCAGCCACTGGCAGACTGTGGGGCAACTGGGTATCACCAATCACCCAGGACCCATGGCTTAACCCTCCTGCAGGTGCTTAGCGGGGAAGTGGGTGTTGAGCAGAGAGGTATGCTTTTCTTTCTTCCCTTCCCTGAGCGGGTCACCAGCCTTCTCCCAGGCTTCATGATCAACCTTCAGGAACTAGCAAATCCAAATGGTGGCACTCCCTCCTGCATTATGAGCTCTCCGGGAGAGTCTGACTTGCTCAAATCAGGAGCCTTCTCATATCCTCTCCCCACCTACCTCACCTTCTACCCGGAGACAGGCACAGGACTGGCAGCGTGCTTCATTCAGCATCACAAAGGACCACATGAGGGTTTTGCCCTGCCTTTAGATTCTCCACAGTATAGCAAAATTCTCTTTATTAAGTACTTACCCACTCTGTTTTTGGAGACTCTCTCAGCTCAGCCTACTGTAATGCTTAATGCCCCGTGAGAGGCCTGTGGGCTGCTCAGGACATCTGTGGGATGGCTCTATCTCCAGTGAGTGAATACCCACTAAGCTAGCACTACCAATGGATGCCTGTTTAGCAGAGGAGGGACTCAGCCTATTTTTCTCCCAGGCAGGCAGCAGGGACTAGTAGAGCTACAGCTGCTCAAAACCATAAGCAGCAGAAGCTACTCGGGCAGTTGGCCAGGAGGCCTCATCTCCCCCTCTGCCAGCCTGCCATGCACCAACAGTTGGCAGGGAATGGTCCTAAATTGAGAAACACTGCGAAGCCCCTAGAATCATTGGCTCTGCGGCAGGGAGAGGCACTGCCTTTGCCCTCTGGAGACCCTCAAGATAGAGGACAGCCCATGACTATGTTGTCTGAATGAAGTAGGGGTGAGGGTGCCTCACATTCCCCTGGTACTGATGCCTGAGCCGTGTTTAGAGAAGGGTGCTGGCAAGGTGGGATGCCCCTGAGCCCTGTGCCTTCCTCGCCTTACCCCCGCCCCAACCAAGCCCAAGCACCCGGTATACAGTCATCAGATGCTGAGCTTTGTAAACCGCCATGCACTTGCTGGATTGATGTTTGTCCTCTAGGTCAAACCTGTGCATCCCTACCTGGAACTCAGGGCCCAACACAAAGCAGAAGCATCACCAACATCTCCGAAGCTCAGTTTCCTTAACTCAGCGGGACGATTGGTCGTTAGTTGAGGGAAGCCATGGGGAGCATCTGGTTCACCATTAGCTCCAAAATTCTTAAACCAGGAAAACTATAACACTGGCAGCCAGCACTATCGCCTTGTTTTAAAAACAGAACTCCAGGAATGGGAGGGGCATGAGAGGATAACAGCATTATCATAGTACATTCTACATATGCATGGAAATATCAAACACATTATTCTATAAAATTAATATATGCTAATAAAAACTTAAAAACTCGGTTGGAACCCACAACCTGGAGAAGATGCAAGAAGGGGATACTCCAGTTATTTCCAGGGGCCAGCACCAACTGCTTGCTGGGCAGTTTTTCTAGCATATTCCTCCTTCCATAGAGCTTGGTGGTGCAGGGATTTCAGCTTCTGCGAATGTAGGCTGCTGCCATACAGTTACATGATAAATGGGGGTGGCCTGAGGCAGGTAGGCTTCCCATGTGTGGGAAGGTTGTGTGGCCTGGAACCTGGCACCATGGCCCTGGTTCACTCTGCTTTTGTTCATGGCAGGCTTCCTTTCAAAAGTCCCAAAGCTTTTTACCTTGTGCATTCTCCCTTACAGCCTTAGGAGGGCGCTGCTTTTTCACTCTGAGTAGCAGAGGCTTGGGACAAAAGGCCAGAGGAGATGAGAGTCAGACACTGACTGCTCTGTGGTCTGTCCTCTGCCGAGTACTATTTCTTCCTTCTGCTCTTCCTGCACAGGGTAGTCTGTCTAGATTCCAAGATGCCCAACTAAAGAAGGACTATGGATTTTCTACGGCCAAAGCTGTTATGATATTAAGATACATCAGTGGGGAATCTAGGGCTAGGGATTCCTCCATACAATAATTTCCCTGTCCTTTTACCCCAGCTTGTAGGTTCCTGGGAACTTCATTCTTGTAACCCCCCAACTATAAGCTCTCTCTCCTAGCATGCCTGCTCTGTCCCTAAGGTTCACGCTGTGTGACATGAGCTATCCCCACCGACAGGATAAGAAACAGTTAACGTGAGGTGCTGGAGGTGGTTGGGTGAGCATGCTAATAAATGTGTATTAGCCAGAGTGGTCAGCTTGTGTGCGCCACTCCTTGCAAACACAGCAGGTGTGGATGTGATGGATGGAGGGCCCCTTAAATCTCATTCCCACATGTGGAGATTATGCTGACACTATCTATGTGTGTCATGGGCTGTATATTACACGGCAGGCTGCAGGGTGGCTATGCATCACTGATCACCTCTCCGGGAAGGAGCCTGAATAG